TATCCGGCTTTATATTATTAGAAGTTACTTAGCGTATCTACTATTTCTTCGTCTAAAAGCTCCGTGATTTAGTCTAATATTTCTACTTCTCGGTTAGAAACGGCCGGGATTAATACCGATTATAGAGGATCCCTATTATTTAATATAGTATTACTTATCTCTATAGTAGATCGTGTCAACCTTCTTAGTTCTAGTTAGACTATCTTAACTATAGTACTATATAGGGAGTAATTCGAATATAAGAATAGGGTTATTAGATAGTAGTATAGTTAGATAGAATAATAGGGTATATTCTATTATAGAACGAATTACTATTAAACCCTTTCGGTAGAAATCTAAGAGTATATATATAAAGGGACGCCGATCTATCTAGTATGTGACTATTCACCGCCCTTCACGTTATCTCCTAACCCTATTAGCTAAGGTACGTATAGGTCGGGTTCTATCTAAGGCTAAGTCCTAACAATTATAGAGGATCCCTATTATTTAATATAGTATTACTTATCCCTATAGTAGATCGTATCGACCTTCTCGGTTCTAGTTAGACTATCTTAACTATAGTACTATATAGAGAGTAATTCGAATATAAGAATAGGGTTATTAGATAGTAGTATAGTTAGATAGAATAATAGGGTATATTCTATTATAGAACGAATTACTACCGAACCCTTTTAGTAGAAATCTAAGAGTATATATATAAAGGGACGCTAATCTATCTAGTATGTAACTATTTACCGCCCTTCACGTTATCTCCTAACCCTATTAGCTAAGGTACGTATAGGTCGGGTTCTATCTAAGGCTAAGTCCTAATAAAACCTCTCTAAATTAGCGACTACCTTCTACCGGAGCGTCTCGTTAATATAGTACCTATCTATAGTATATTTAAAGAAGCGTAGAGCCTACTAATTAGCGTAGCTATATATAAATACGATATAGAGGAAGTCCTTAAAAGTTTAAGATTACTAATATATCTAGGTATACCACCTATAAATCTATACCTTTATTACTATCTATACGAGCTTAATAGAATTAAAGTTAGATAAGTACGGTAGCGTATACTATATAATATAGCTAGCGCTAAGTATAAGTAGCTTAATCTATTAGTTTATATAAAGTGCGAGATTATCTATAATAATTATTATTATACGCCTAGGGTATTTTACCTTAAGGGTAGGTAATAGGTATACTTATAGCTAGGTATAGAACTTATCCGTTAAGAAATAACCTTCCTTTATCTAATAGTAGATAAAACCATTAGCTATAATAGCTCTATATACGCTATACGTAGATCCTCGATTAAGAGTACTAATCTTAGTTAGAGTCTATCCTTTTAGTACTCTAGCTCGACGCCTCTATCTAATTTTCTTATTAAAAATAACCTTATCTAAGAAGATATACGAGTCTACTAGTAGCTCCGTAATATCCTTAAGGTATAAAGTATACGCTATCTCTAAGCGCGCACTACTAATATATTTTAATAGCTTATAATTCTACCCTTACTCGGATAACTCTTTAGATAGAAGCTATTTAGATATAGTAAGATTAAACTCTTCGTATATCTATCTAGCTATCTTATTAAGGTATAGCTAGCCCTTATAAAGTAGTCTCTTAAGTAGTTATTATATTATATAATTACTTAGTTAACGAGGTGGACTATAATATATTAACTATAGTTTATTCCTCTATCCGTATATCTTAAGGTTAAACCTTATTCTATATACTATATTCTTACTAACTTTAGTAATAGCGACGATCTTATTAATAGATATATCGTATTATAGAAGGAAGTTAATTTATCTATATACGGAATCGGGATAGATAATACCCTAGGGTACTATATATATACACGTTAGTAAGTTAAAAACACTAAATATTATATATACTAACTCTTATATACTATATTATATAGTTATAGACTCTATATATATATGGTACAGTAATAATACCGTAAAATGTTAATTATATATAAAAACGCGTGTTGGTAGCATAGACGTGCATCAGGCGCCAAGCTTTCCCATGTAACTATGGATAAACGGATGTGAACTAACAGAGACTAATGTTTCCTCTTATGTCTTTTCATAAGGGTGAATTTGACTAACACTCGATTCCGCAAGGGTGCTTCAATATACAGGCCTAAGGCTTAGATCGCTCTCCAAATCTTGTTATAATAAACAAATAACTGCATTGAACAGCTCATGATTAAAGTATATATTATATAGTAACAACCCTATTATGTATAGGCCTACTACGCTACAGTAGTGCTGCCAGGGCCTTGCAAACGTGTTCTACATATTTCAGTGCCATTTATGTACCAACCTACAGCTGAAAAGCCTACCATGGGCCATTCTGGGCTTGAAGGACTCAGATAACTCACCGTTCGCATAAGTGCAGTCATAGCGTATGATGACCAGGCCAGTAACACAGACTTGAATGCGTACCTTCGTTGTTCACCATACGAAACTAGGGTCAACACCGGAAGATTCGGAGGTTAGGCGATGACAGGTCGCGTTGTAAGCAGTCAGAGCGAACCGAAGTGCCGACTCTACATCGAGGATGACTTAGTCGTATGGATTAGCATATTTCAAAAAATTCACTATGACGGGGAAAGCATTTTGGTTTCTTGTATTCATAGTTTCTTGATATTGGTGTTGTATATCATCAAAGCCGAAGCTATGAGTGGTGCATGAATTGTGTAATCATATCAAGAGAATAGGTAGAAGAAAGGAGGTACATACCTGAGGATTGAATGCATCCCACTTATTTCGTGTATGAATAAAGAAATGAGTCCTCATTGTCTCGAGTGACTAGAGACCCTCATAATCCAAGCATACGCCTAGGGTGGTAGCCTCTAAAGCCCACCCAACTTTGTCGCTTGAAAGGGTAAAGGAGATCATATCTGTCTTGTCAAGTTCAATTTCCGTCAGGCCCGTCAGTTAAACTGCGATACCATCAACAGGTCATGAGCATTAATCAATAAGCAGACGCTTGATATTTGCATAGCAGCTATGATCGGCAAGGCCTTGTGCCACCATAATACGGAACCAAGGTGTAACACCCTTTTCGAGGGCATCATTGTAAATTTAGAGTGTCATTCAGAACCAATCGGTGGTTGTCGTGCAGGTTGTTACAGGAAGTATGTTAAGAGAAGTTGGGTTTCGGTGTCGGCGAAAAATTAATAAGTCGATTTCGAGGTGTCCTAGACTCGATCGAGGCTAGTGCTACCGGGTGATGTGTTGGAAGCAAATGACATGGGGAACAGCCATGGCTGAACATTTTGCTATTATTAGTCTATCATAAACAGGTCTAGTATACGGCTGAATTGGTCTACTTATGTATGCTGACTTGGTCTCGCGAAAACCTCCACACTCCAAGTTATCAAGGAAATGTAGCTGTACTACTATGGGTATCAAACGAGGTCCTCTCTCCTAAGACGAAACCTTACACATATCTCTCAACCGCTTTTCTACTCTTTCAGTGGTATCCTACGCCACATTCCAATATGTCTGATGCCTTCCTCATCCCACTCTCCTAACCCCTCATCGTGTGTGAAACCTGTCTTTTCCCAAAACGTTTTGAGCTGCTTCTGTGCATGTACCAATACAAGCCCCTTCCAACCCTCTTCCAGGCCATTCGCATCGCCCTCCAACTTGATCTGCTCCAGTCGGGCCGGACTGGGAGCACGATATATTTGCGCCGCGTTATTGATCGCGTAATTGAGCGCCTCGGAAAGGAGCAGTCTCGATAAACCATATTTACCACGATAATCCTTGCTGAGCGCCAAACGAGTGAGCTTGACGTATGGTTCGTGGTATGCAGGGGTGGGCTGGAAGTCGCCGTCGTGTGGATGCTTTCCATGCGGCGGAGGCACGAGTCTGAGAGTACCGACGGGCTTGCGGGTCGCACTCGCATCTGCAGAGTCCTTGCGTTCGGATGCATGTCCGACATTGTTGGTGCTGCTGTTCTTGCGGTTGTTCGCAACGGAGACGTATACGACCCAGTGCCAGCTGCGTGCATCGTCGTCGTCAACCTCGTTGACTAACGAGCAGGCCTGTTCGTCGACGAAGACCTCCTCCCGGACAGCCATTGCATCGCGGAATATTTCTGGTATTTCTTCTGGTTGTTCATCGTGACGCTTCTCATGAATGTAGTTGTGTAGGACGTCTCCTGGTGGCGCCAGGATATCGACCGACATCGTGACGACTGGATCGAGGAGGACCTTCGAAGGTAATATGAGATCTGGGAGAAAGGATATTGTAGAAGATAAGTATAATGGTTGAAGTCGAAGTATGGTTGTACCGATCGTTAGTGCGTCCTTGTTGACGAAGGAGCAGACGAGGAGATGACTCCGTAGCGACCTAGAGTATAAATCTTCTGAGGTGGACTGATGGCATCAGTGCGCGGGGTAATCGCGTCTCCTTCAAGGACGGCGCAGACGAGGATCAACAACAGGAGTGACAGTAATTGCAAACAAAGCCGGGCCCATACTTTTACAAGAGGTTGGAGTCACAGCAGGACAGACTGGGGGGAAGACTGGGATAAAAACGCCGTGACGTACGTCTTTTTCAGGGTCTCTCGCCGCCACGTCTAAGGGTCCAGGGTCTTCTACCATGGTCCACGGTACTTTTCACCGCCACTACGTCCTGACCTTCGATGATCGCCATCAGTTTGGGTGGACACCTCCTGCTGATATTCCTAAACATGATCGACCTTTGATACACTTGAAGTGGCGTCTTCCGAGTTCGTATCCACGCGTCCGCTCACGAGAAGGATATGTATGTCCGGCGATCACTCTCCCATGTATGATTATCATGTTTTCGCCTCCGCATCCAAGACACACCTATATTAACCTTGCGAATTCCACGTCATGACCGATCTTTTCCGCAACAGTACTTACAAACCTGATCAAAACCTGATAGAGATCTGATACGGAACTTGAATCTATGCTAGCGATCCAGCAGCTCTAATTTAGCTAGGAATGGATAGCAACCTTTTTCATCGCGGAACACGAGAGCGGAAAAGCAAACGCCAGAGTTTATTATGCTCTTGAGAAAATGGACCTGTCGATACTGAGCATGGCTTCTGCAGTCAGAGCACATAAAGTGTATGTAAGCGTAAAGTCCTCGTGAATCCATGAGGTAACGTCAAGAAACATGCGAATAATGGAGTTGTTGAGTAAAAGAATCCGCTGAATATTACCGCCCAAATACCATATAGGCATTATGAAAGAAAAGCGAACAACGGTCACAACACGTGCAGTCTAATGCGCATCATCTGTCCCACCCGTGAATCCCCCTTATCCTTCTATCGCTTGCTGCAACATATCATATACCGCTATAACGACTTCCGTGACAGTCCCCAAGCGCTGATTCATAGTGTCCATGTGAGGTACCAACTGCGCCTGCACGATAGCATTTATACGCGCCAAGTCAAGCGTAGTAAGCCCATCCTGGGGCTCCTGTCTCGGATCAGTGACGTGCTCAGCTGGAAATTCCTCATCTGCTTCAATCTCGTGCTCCTCCTCTTCATCTTCTTTTTCCAGATCTTCTTGTTTGATGGTAGAGTGAGCGTCAGGTTGAGTCGTGCCTTCTGCACGAGCACGCTGTCTGTCTTTCAGTTCGAGGCGGGATTGCTCTATGGCTTTTGCTAGATTGCGCTCTTCAGAAGATTCGCGCTTTGTGTTAGATTCTCCGGAAGCTGAAGTGTGTAGTTCGACTGGTGCTTCGCAGTTGCTGCTGGTTTGATCGGAGCCAAGGCCTTCTGAGTTAGGGACTATAGCTCCAGGACCTTCTGCTTTGTGAGCCACGATATTGCATGTTTCGCATGATTCGAGAACTCCAGATTTAGGGACTTTTGTTTCGGTTTCTGCATATCTTCCAGCTTGGCGTGTGATAGCACTGTTTTCGGGGCTGTTGTCGGGGCTGTTGTCGGGGCTGTTGTCGGGGCTGTTGTCGGGGCTGTTGTCGGGACTGTTGCTCAAGGGGTCATTCGGGGTTGATGGCACCTTTATTGGGGTAGTGGTTTCTATTTGTACCACCGGAGGTACGGGTGATGGATCTTCGCGCCTAGCTTTACGTAGTGCAGGACCTTCGTCGGGTGGCTGTGAACTTGCCTTGCGCTTTCGACTGAGTTCTTGCTGCGCGGAACTTTCAGGGGTTGGAATGGCTCTTTGGGCTACACTAGACAGGCCAGCTACGTTGCTGTCATTACACTGGATTGATGGGGGCTCAGTTGGAGAATCAGATGCAGTCATGATAGAGAACCGAAGTTTTTGAGCTCTTGTTCGGGCTGCTGAAGGACTGTGTTGTGAGTGCGAGCTTCCGTGTGGTCCATCGACACAAGCTCCCTTTCTAGAAAGGCGTCTAGACTTCGGGACCATATTATGTCAGTGTAAGGTATAAGAAGGTCTTAATGTAACAATATCGTAGCTTTTTCGCAGTATGGTCTGTGGGTGTTGGGAGGTCTGAACTGGCGAATACAATAGAATTGAGGACCTTGTGATATATATATAGCTTATTGAGGCCGTTCAAACGTGAGGAACTCACCTTGGACAAATAGGTTTGTTCTCATTCCTTGGTATGGAAGCAAGCGTCAAAGAGCATCAGTCCAAAATCACAATAGAACAACAGAACAAGATATGCACAGTGTAGAGCGACAATTGGGAGTTTTGAGTATATTCAGGTTCAATATCGAACCAAGTAATGCTGACACAAAATAAAGGGTTAGAAGAACGAGACTGAATAGACCGGAGCGAACCAGTCCTTTTCAGGCAGGGGCTATCTTTCCCTTCCATTTTCATTCATCACTTGAAAGATCGTCATAAAGTAACCTCTAGCCCCCATCTTCTTTATTCATCGTTATGCTTGTATCCAGGAAATAGTGCGGATGCATCAGATGCGAGCTCCGAAGATCGTCGGAGTAATTAGCTATATCCTATACATACCTAAAATGCTATACTAACCTACATCCGCTTTCACCCAACCATATTTCCAACGACAATTCTTGTGACGACTCTTTCCAGATCCCTGGTCTTTTGGAAGGTGACGAGCCATCGCTGCTAATAATGACAAGAGTTGTTGTGCCGCCTGGAGAATCCTGGGGTTTGATGTAACATTTGAGTGCACTTACTGTTCCTGTTGGCACTGTATCTGAATATACGGTCTCATATACGCTAATGACATGTACCATCAGCTTACATACTTATGTGACTTCGAGCACAACGCTATCTGACGTCACGCTAGCCGAACTGTAGTGTATTGTCCCCAGACCTCATCATCCAGCTAACTTGCTTTCTGGTTGCTCGCTTATCTCACCGCGTTCATCCACCAATAATTCACAATGCAACAACTCCGTTCATTTCCTTATTATCACCTCATTGCAGGTAGGAACCAGGGAACTCACCATTGCCCAGGTTCTCGCAAAGTCAAACGATATCTCGATGCATCAGCTGCGATCATTTGAGGGGAACTTGGTTCACTCTATGCATGAAGATATTCATGTGGCATTTGTGGTGCCTCTCCGTCGCCTACGGTGATTCACATTCTCATATCGAAGCATCATGCCGCATCCACACTACAAGACCTTCCTTAACTGATGCTGACGCAGCCTATATATCAAGGCAAAGCTCCCCATTCTCTATTCTCACAGAGGTTCGGTTCATGGTGTTGCAGTGATGCATCATGTTGTCATGTGTCGGTTTTGGCATTGTGTGCTAGTCCACCGCCTTAGAATTCTTTCAATGCACAATTCCACACGACTCTGATGCGTGATAGCCTTGAAAAGCGAAGCAGAGTGGCAAAGGGAGATCGAGGCCAGCGTATTCACAGTCGGTGGACGAGGAATAACTCTGAAATGTCTGCAACCGGAGATCTATGTCTTCTATTAATCGCGTACAACTCCCATTTCGACTACTGGTTCCAAGTTAAGGCAGCTATCAAACTTCCTCGATCCCTCTCACCCACTGACAATCATATCTGCAGCTTCGTGATCCTTTCATGCTAGTTCTACGACTCACTCGCATATTTGCTACTCCAACCCCTGAAGTCCATACACATGTACGGCGCACGATATGACAACCTATGGGATTACGGGGCAGATACTGCATATGGGCAAGCAGAGCAAGAATACTTCGCTGCAAGATATCAGCAAGCGGTACTAGCGAACCAACAATACAGACCACAACGAGGACTGCGTCGACAGGCTGGGCACAATGGGCTACGTCTTGCGGCCGCCGCTCAAAACTACTCGATCCTGCGGAATTACAAAAGAATAAAGGAGCTTGGAAGGGGAGGAGAGGGGACTTGTGACTTGTACAAAGGGATGGACGGCTCCAAGGTTGTTGTCAAGCGAGTCAAGTACAATCCTGCACAGGTCCAACTTCTCCGAGAGGTACGAGCAATGAGGAGTGTGAATTCAGGATTACCAAATCATCCAAACATTATAGAACTGCTCGACTATGGCGAAGATGATCCGCACCCAGGATACTGCTCAATCATATACCCGTACTTCGCTGCCGGCGATTTGAGACAGTACTCGAAACAATTTCGCCAACGTTCCATACATGCGCAGGAGAACATGATTTGGTCTGTCTCGCTTCAGATCACAGATGCTGTTGAAGCTCTGCATAGTCTTGGCGTAATCCATTGCGATCTAAAGCCAGAAAATGTACTGGTAGATACCTCCGGCCGCGAGGTTCGGGTAGTAGTCGCAGATTTTGGCCTTGCACGAATGGTCAGCGAGATACACCCCGGTTTCATAGGAATAGGTACCATATCATATCATCCTCCCGAGAACCAAATTGGAGCCGGAACGGATGTGTGGGCTATCGGAGCAATCATACATTTCCTCGCTACAGGCGAGCCCCCGGTCCGACCAAGCAAAGCTCCGTGGCCACCCTGTCCTCCGCACGAGCTTCCTCTCTTCTTTGATCCACAGGGGGAGGGTAAGCACGTTTACAGAGTCAACGAATGGAAGTACAAAAATATGCGATACTACTCGGACTTTACGAAGTATGGGTTCAGTCCTGGACTTTTCAAGGTCGGTTCCTCCGCTTGCAAGATGTCGCCTCAGCAACGCCCGAGCGCTTCAGATCTTCTATATCTCATCGAGAAAACTCAATCGAAAGTTTTGGCTGGGCGTCATGTAGGCGCGAAACAGGGGTCGTTTGCTCATCGGCTATGGCCCGAACCGGTTGATCGTCCACGCAAGAAGGCCCATCGTGCCAGGTATCACAGCGCGGCCTATTAGACTCAGGATGCTACCGTAGGTACGTCTATCAACATGAATGTTAGCTTTTCATCAATTTCCTTTATCGACAGCACGCAAATGACTCGCTGACTTGGTCATGCCACTTTTTGGTATTCATGCCAGGACAAATGACGTATGTATATGCCTGCACATACTATTGATGACCTGCTAGATGATATGTCCACTATCTATACGTCTAACTTTAGGTGATTGATAAATAGTGTTCATAGACTATTATAGCAGATATTGGAAAGATAATGTTCTCAAATTCCCGCAAAAATCTATCATTACTAATAGTAGAAACCGGTAACAGATCGGCTGTCCACGTATTCGGGCGCAATACGAGAGGAGTGAAATATCCATCGCAGAGTCATAGTGCCCTTCTCCAGCAGACCACGTGCTTTATCATAAGAAGTGAATATCTATGTATCAGTGCCATTGTTTGGTCTTCCATGACGTCTTTTTCTCTTTCACTAGAAAGCGCACTTTGAACAAGGTGTGACTCCTGAACGAAAGAAGATTTTTCGACGTCGTCCTATGCTGGAACACAAATCCAACACAGCACTTTTCTGATCAACACTGGCGCCTCAAGCTCTATGAGACATATCATAGAATGCATTCACATTACGAACGTTCACCGTACGCACCGTCATCTATACTACGAGTTATCCATACTCTGAGTGATCTATTCTTCATTCCAGCACAGTGGTGGCCATCAAAAGCAAACAGCCGTACATAATATCTTCCGCTCGTTTCCTCCATTCTTTTCTCTATACTCTTCCCCCAAATCTAAACAGGCAGCTCAGCTCAGATCTGTAATCATGTCTAGCCATACTCGCAGTCCACCGTATTCTGCATGCCCAGAACATGAATACAGTGTGAGTAGAACCATCGATACATACTCCTCGCCAGGTCATCATCAACAAGTTACTCCACGCAGAGAACTCAACGATCAACAACTGAAGGATGACAAGAAGGACGAAGAAGACATGGACGTAGTATCAGAGCTACAAAGAACAAGAATCAGCGAAAATCCACCCAGGCGCGTCTACAGCGAAGATGAACTCATCTCAGCCCAGGCACTCCTCGAGCTGGGTCACGGAAATAAGGATATAAGAAACCGGATAGAAACGGAGAGACGTCCGGAGCAGGGGATGTCAGCACAAGCCCCTGCTGCGAGACCACCATTCCAAGCCCAGCCACAGGGCGAGAGACTCCCCAGAGAACAACATGGACGTGGTGGAACCGTAGCAGACCGTCGTCCTCCATATCAACTTCGACGACCAATCGTCCCACATCACCAGATTCCGCCCCTTCCCAACACAGAGAACCGTCCCATTCCCTACGGCCTCGCAGGTCCAAGACCAGCTTGGCAGCCCGTATTTCCTCCCCGACAACCCCCTCCTCCCCCTCATCGTTATCAACATGCTCCCTGGCAGCCTGCTTTCCCACAGCAGCAGCAACGTGTCGAGGCATCAGGCCTACCGGCACGCTCTTACACGGACTACCTCGGAGCCCAGCGACTGTTCATAGAGCAACAAGAAGCGAATCGTGCTTCTCAAGCACAGCGAGAGCAAGGTAGACAGGGGAGAGAACAGTCACGGGGACACCATGCAGCAGGTACGGAGCTGGGTCAGATGAACCAGCGAGGGTGTCCGTGTACGGTGTGTGTAAATGCACGGGCGAGGAGATAAGCACTGGAGGAGGATCTTGGTGTTGGATAAAGGGTGATTGTGAGCAAAAGGACATGATGCTATCACGATATAACTATCAAATGAAGCGGAAGCAATTTCCTTGCATGCATGTGCAATGGATGCGATAGCTCTGTGGTGTGACTTTCTGACGTGACGCAGCACCAGGATGGTGTGTTGTGGAACGGAATACACAACGACGTAACCGTTGCGTGTGTACACTGTACCAAGTTCTTCGAGGTGGTGCCTGCATTTGTATGTGCGTGCTCTGTAGCATACGGTTGAGACGTGTACAGCAACACTCTGTCACACTTGAGTATCTGGTCCAAGTCAATATCATCACGGAGCGAAATTGTTCGGCACACGGCAGGGCAAAGTTGCACAATACCCTGGACGTCGAGCTGTGCGAAGACACTCTTGGAACGAATAAGCTGGACCTACATGTGGGCAATTCCTCGCACTCTCTCCACGAACAGATCACACCTTAGACATCAAGCTGTTCTATGTTCCTATATCATCTCAGAACACCCTTGCTACATCTACGCGCGCCACACTATCGATGTACCGGGTATTGATACACCACAGCCCTAGAAAATGATCTCCAACTCCCTAAGATATCCAGCTTAGGCATCAGCCTTGCACAAGAAATACACCCCTGCCAATACCAACACCATACAGTCCTGGTATATGACCGTACCACATACGATCAATCGTCACGACGCACAAATGCGCCCATTCAGGCGTATCAGGAACCAGGACACACTCTAGCCACGTGCTCTGGTAAAACGTCTCACTTACTCACCCACTTCGACGGCACTGCTCCGTAGATGATGTATACATATGTAAAAAGCTTACGGTACGACAGGAACACATACACGCCTGCTGTGGCTCCCGGACACAGGGTTTCGGAAATCCTGACCCACGTGTCATATCGTCGCACACACACACACACACACACATATATATATATATATATATATATATTCTCTGAAATCCAGAATTCTACCACAGACACACAACAAGAACCTGCCATCCCTTTTATGGCGGCAACTTTTGATTTGATCTGTTGCTCATAATGCCGTTGATAAGTCCAGCGTGAGACGAAGTTGTCATCGAAATTCTAGAAATATCAAATACAGCAAGACACGACAAGAAGGAATGCAAGCCACGCTGTATGCAAGACACCATGTTTGTTTACAGCGGTGTCGATGTATGTATGTAGTGTACATACGTCGACGTAATGATATACAGGCAGATAGATGTATGTGACATAGGCAGAAGAATGATACAGGCAATCATTTTACCGGCTCCGAAAATACGTACTGATACCCTATGGGCTTGTTGACTGTTCGAGTTACTTGCATTCTTACTCGCGCTTTATCAAGCAATCAACGATCTTACAGAGATCCACTGTATTGTACAAATCTTGACTTAAGTCTAAACTCTGCTCCCTACTATAGAGTCCCATGCTGAAATTTATCTCTACAGCAAATAAATACCCCTCCAAACCCCTAAACCCCTCCAAAACCAGCACCAAGTCCCCCCTTTCCATCTTGACATCTCGAGTCTCCTACAAGACCCCTCCTTCAAGCCCCCTCTTTCTTCCCATTAATTAAGGAAAAACCTTAGCCGCTTCCGCTGCCCCCTCCATTAGCACCCCTCCAATATTAGCTCTGAAACCCCTATTCTCCAGATCCATCAAGCCACCTGCAGCCCAAACTATCCAGACTACGCCACGCTAGGCTAAGCGCCAGGCACACATCAAAAGACACAAACACAAGAAACCCCCTTTTTTTGTTCCCGCAATCACCAACACGTGGGCACCAATAGATGCGAAACCACGCTCGGTAAAGCCCGTCAACGCGGGATGATTACCAGATTATCTTCTCAAATCATAATGTAATCAACAACATCTAATCTCGAGACTCACTCACTCTCTATCCAAGGCTCTCAGGCTAGGAGTTGTGCGTATACAACAGCACGACGGTCTAGTATATACCCAGCCTTACCATGCCATGCCCCTCCGGATCACAGTACACACGCCGCCAAAGTCCTACACGCTCACTTACCCACGCACGCACACGCCAAGCCCCACGCCCCAGATCATCAAGCCCATCATGTCCATCATGTCCATCACGCAGCGTGCATCGTGCATCACGCACCATGTATCTATCTCTCCAGCCGCCCTCCAACCGCTCTGCCTGCTCTCTGCCCGCGTCTGCTCCAAATAACACCACATAAAACCCCAATAAATGTACGCAAATAGCATAGCAAACAAGCAAGCCAATCACACACCTAATCGCACCCTGAATCACACCCGCTACGCCGCATCGCATCGCATCGCCCGGCGCCGCGCCGCGCTACGCCAAACCAACCAGCCAACACCCTCTAAAATAGAAAAAAAAAAGAAAAACTTAGTCAAAAAGAGGCCATCCATGCGAGGCTGAAGCTGATGCTGACGCTGACGCATAAATCGACTCCGCCCAGGCGTCTACGCAAGGGTCTAGCAGTACCTAGCAAGCAGTACCACCTAGCAGTAGCAGCTACATACATACATACATACAGGCTATCAATTGACGGGAGTGATGCCTTGTTTCCTAATTCAACACAACACATGTGGTAAGGAATTGAGATTGTTGATATTGAAAAACCAAAAAAGCAAAAGAAAAAAAAAAGAAATTAATAAGAAAAGCGAAAAGCGAAAAAGAAAAAGAAAGTAGATTATGAATGCGCCGATCCGAGAATCTTACCTGACTGTGTGTCTGTGTGTGGTGTGCCTCGTTAGGAGAGGGGGAGGGGGCCGAAGTGTAATAAATTATCGACGCCCTTTTACTAGGACTGCCTCCCGTTTGTCGTACCAAGCTGATGATGGGACGGGAAGCGAGCGATCTGCGCGTCTATTGCAAAAGAAACGCGGACAGACTCGCATAAAAAGGTCCGAGGCAACGCAGACATACATACAATACAACGCAGACATACATACAATACAACGCAGCATACGCACCAAGCACCAAGCACAGCATGATAGCAAAGTGTCTGATTCCACAAACAGTTTCTTAGCATCCGTTCGTATATATGCATATCCCATGCAACCTCAAGTAGGGTAAGGTATCTTTTTGTAACAGTGCGAATACAGCAGTAAGAAGCAGGCGGTGAAAACTCTTGTCCTCCCAGACAGCCATTGATACTCCTACAAGGCGGCGTCGCCGCCAGCCCGTTCTCCTCTTTCACTGACAATATCACCCAATAATCCCGCAATCCAGAATATAAACGCCGTGGTATGCTGATGCCGCTGATCTTGAAAACAAGACAAAATAGTTACTCCTTCGCAGGTGAGCCATGGTACAATGTGATAGGGAAGCTTTAGGTAGAGAGGTCGAAGGCGGTCGTCTAAAGTGGGGTGGCGGATCACCGGGCATTCATGGAAAAGTGAGAATAGGCATATCCACCCCAGAGGGCAAGGACGATGCCGATGATTTCCTGCTCGGACGGCATCGCCTTCTCCGTGTACCAGCCCAGACCGAGGATAAGAATAGTCTTGACGTGTCCAACAATGTTAAACGTCAGTGCAGAGGTCCGGCTGATGATCAGAAATTGCGACAGGTTGATCATACTGGCCATGACACCGGAGCCGAAGACTGCCCAGAGAGCATTAGAAGAGGCTTGCGCTAGAATATATGTTAGCCGACGCCCGACGTTGCACAATCACACAGACGTACAGAGGTTGGGCATTGTGTCGAAGAATGGAACAAAAGGAATCAACAGAAGTACAGCCAGCGGTGCTTGATTCATCAGCAGCTGAGGGGCGGACACATCGAGGTCGGTGATCTTCTTTCCAATCCATATCTGGTAAAATGCGGTGATGATGAAGGCGGCTGTGGCGAATATAATACCGACGAGGTTACTGCGCGCTTCTTCTGTGATGGTGAGACTGACGCCAATGCACACGGCGATGATGGCGCCGACGCGATAACGGTCGATAGTCTTGCGGAAAAGGATGAAATTAATAATGACCACGGAGGGAGTGGTCATGATCTTGGCGAGCTGATAGGTGCCGATGGAGTTGTTCGCCAGACTCAGGTTACCAAGAATAACGTAGCCGGCGAAGAATAGACAGATGGGCAGCATAGCGCGTACCGAGAGCCGGATAGGGTTGAAAAGACGAAACAAGCGGGTTGAAGAGACATAGAGAACCAGCGAAGTGACGATGAAGTGCCATATTACGAAGCCGACTTGACAATGCTTGAGCTGCTCATCGGAGAAAACACTATAGCGCGGTCAGTCACGAAGCAGGACAAGAGAGTCGGCATCGTCGTACATCTTGCTAAGAAAGACCAAGCCGACGGTGGACAAGGCATTGAGGGCAACGCATAGAGCAGTGATGATGTTCTCGCGAGCCTTGGTCAACATTGAAGGTTGGGAGTTGTCTTTCATGGCCAGACCATGTCCAAGTAACGATTCCTGGGATTCGCGTTGCTTTTCGAACTCATCCGAGGTTCTGGCACTGCTGAGGTCGATTGACACGTCGTTTCGATTTGCCGGAGAAGAAGACATGGTTGAATAGCAGAGATGGTGAGGGTGCGCGGGAGTGAACGAGTGAGTGTGGTGGCGGATCAGACGGAAGGGACAGAAGGCGCCGTGAGAGAAATGGACGTGACGAAGCTTGGAAGCCCTCGACGGCAACGAAGAAGAAGAAGAGGCTTGCTCGCAGGTGGAAGGTGAAAGGGTGCCTAGTTAGCTAAAGGGTCGGTACAAGAGTGCAGTAGCTAATTAGCGTGAGGCTGTCCAGCTGCGGGATATTGGAAATTGAGGTGTACTGTAACTCTCTCTATACGGTTTGGTCGGAGCTTGGAAGTAAAGAGCCACGGACGGGATTAGGGGATGAGACGGGGAGGGACTCTAGCTTAGTCTTACAACGACGACGACAACAGCAGCAGCGGCAGTAGCAGCACACAGCCTGAGGTGATAAAATTAGGAATCAGGATGCCGGTGCAGTCATCAGTTGGTGGTGACAGCCAGGCATCGAGGGAAAGTAAGCCGTTCGTATATAGATAAAGTTGCGGCGATTATTGACTAGGGAGCATGCGGAGCAGGGGGGGGTGTATGTTGCAGGTAGGCCCAGCAGGGTGGTCTACTTTTTACTACCAAAATACTGCCTAAGCACGCTGAGCCTGTGCCCCCCCGCCCAAACGATCAACGTACTGTATATATCCACTTTGCAGCTATCGTGGTGTCCCATTGCCCGCTGCAGTCAGTACTCCTCTCCACTGTTACCTGTGGTTCTATTGTCCCTATCCTATCGTCCTTTCGTATATTCACCGACGGTCCCACGAGACGTCAAAGTTATCTTGTTCTGTTCAGTATCTCAGGCGTCGCAATGCCACACTGTCACCTACTTGCGTTTGAGGTTGGAGGCGCAGGTACCTGCTCCGGATATACAATATGCACACTAACCCTATTTCGTTTTGTTTCATATGCAGTTCAGCGAGGACCTGGGGGCAGAGCAGCCGCCGAGACAAGCCAATTGTTGGCTGTCGATGGGCTGGCCTATCAATAGCATCATTTGCGGCATGGCGAGCCGCGACCTACGCGCTTGGGGAGCGACTCGGCTGGGGGCGAATAGAAAGCTCCTATCTCTGGCATCAATTAAGGTACGGAGCCGAGTCGTGGTTGTGATGATTTACAATCCGTCTACGCTATCAACAAGCGGGATTGCCATGGTGCGATCATCTTCTGCCGATATGCCGATTACCCATCTGGGCGACGATTCACACAGTACTATTGCCTGGAGAGGTTGACAATGCTTCTCCAGACTCCAGAGATGAATACTCGATGTCGTTGACATGGTGACGATGTTTCTCTTCGGATCCTGGCTGGTCGCACAGCCTTGCGGGCCGCTGCACAAAGATGGCAGAGTTGTTCAAGAAAGATTCTTTCTCTCCCTGGCCTCACGCCACTTTCCAACACTGATTGATGACATCAGCAACGAGCTAGAGTGGCTCGTGCTGCGGAACAACTGCGTAGTCATGCGACTCTGGCGGATGCAACGTGGCGGCATGGAGCCAATGGATGGAAAGTTAGAAGGACATGCTAAAAGGAACAATACTTAATAACAATATATCGACTTGCTTATGGTTGGATTTGGCAGCAGAGCGGCTGTCAACATTACTGTTGTTACGGCACGGAATCGGAGCAATTAATTGGCCACTCAGATTGAACCAGGCAGCCAGGCAGTAAAAATTATGCCTGATGAATGCCTGAAGCATGATGTATCGGTAATACCATCCCAACCTCCACACTCATCTCATCCGTCCACATCCGCTCAAGAAAGCAAAACGTGCTGAGCTATGTGCCGAAAACGTTTTATTCCGCGTATTTAATGAATCCAGTAGGAATGAATTATAGTTATCTTCTAGCGCTTTCTAGGCCATCTGATATCCAATTTCGTTGAGAGTCTAAGCAGCTATCCCTTGTCTGCACTAACCCCCCCCCCTTTTATGCTGCTCCCTGTGCGCGATAGCCCCAAATACTTATGGAGCAGTGGATCGATCTGCAGCGTTATTCCTGCCGCCCTCCAGCGATCCCTGCGGCGCAATGAGCGCTCTAGGCTCAACTCCTAAAGATGGAAAAGTATTTTTTGACGTATCGTAAAGCTAGACTGCGCACCTTACGCGCCGCAAGGCAGCAAGACGACAGTGATGCATGGCCAGAGTTCATCAGTGCGCTTCGCAGTCGCAGGCGCAGTCGCACTTGCCTCTTGTGTCCTATATAGTTCCATGGTGGTTGCAGGTGGTGTAGCAGTGGCGCTCGTTCGTCGCTTCCTAATTCATACCTGATACTTCACACCACCTCATAATAATTACAGGCTGTTCCTGCCTCCCTTTTACCTACAGGGCTTCTCCCGCCGTGCAAGCCATCCATCCGTCCTATGCTCCCTATCACCTCTCGTCCCTGTTCCTCTTTCTCTTATCCCCTGGCCTGATCCATCACTATCATTAGCTTCATCAGTCACATACCACCTGGTATTAGTCTCTCCGCCTGAACCGTTGAGACTGACTTGCCCTCCATAACCCACCCCTCTGCCGCTCACTCACTCGCATTTTCTCTTCTCTCTTGTATCAAGTCGATATCCGCTCACCACCCGGGCCCTGCCCTGTCCTGTCCAGTACTGTCAATACCTTCTCGATCTCCTTCGTTACTTTCGCTACCAGGCTCCGCTCAGTTTCCTTTCGCACGTACTCGTCATGGCGCATCCCGCCAACACTCGTTTCCTGTACATTTCTGCAGGCTTTTTTCTCGTCCTCATCGTCCTTCTACTGACTCACCACCGTGATGAGCTCGCACAACATGTCACATTGCCCTTTAAAGCCGATTCCAATACGTTCGACTCGTCAGAAAATCAATATCCACTCAAGAACCCGGAGGAGAAGGTCGCCTTCGCTACATGGTATAGCAGTACTGTCAACGAGAATGGCGACAATTGGCAGGACGACGTCTACTTCACCGCCACTCGCATGCTTGCCTACCAATTACTCCACGACCCAAAGACGAAGACTCGCAACAACATCCCCTTCATCATTCTCTGCACTCCAGACGTATCCGAAGCTCGTCGCGCGCGCTTGGCAAAAGATGGAGCGACAATACACCCGGTAGACTGGTTGACACCCAACACTGACTGGATGCAAAAATCTGGTGGCGCGCAACGGGAGACATGGCATGATATCATGTCCAAGCTTCACGTCTACGAACTCACTGACTACTCACGCGTCCTCCTGATTGACGGCGACACTCTTCTCCAATCACCGCTCGACCAGATCTTTGACGACCCGATGGCCCAGCTTATGCAAACAAACAATGACCCCGAACTTACAAAGGATGACGAAGCACCTCTTCCCGAAAAATATCTGTTGGCTAGTACAGCCGAAGTCGAGGGTCCAGATCACTCTTTTCCCCCAACCGACGAGGAGGTGCGAAATCCCGACTACTTCTGCGCTGGCTTCTTCATGCTTGCTCCCTCAAAGGAAATGTACGAGCACGTTGTATCAGTCATGAATATCGAAGACCGCTTCTCGCCCTTGTACATGGAACAGAATTTACTAAATTATGTTCATCGTCGAGATGGCCCGATGCCATGGACTGGCCTAGACCGAACGTGGAATATTCGCGACTTGAACGAAAACGATCTCGATGGTGGCGTCGTTTCCGCTCACATGAAATGGTGGGAAGAGCCATTGTCGCATCACCAGAAGGTCAAGGATTGGTTTCTTGCCGTGCGCTGGAAGATGGAAGGCTATTATCAAGGCTACGATGAACTCAAGGGCAAGTTCCCGAAATACATACCTGCAACAACACCTCCGGCACCCCGAGCAACGATGGTTCCTTCATCGAACTCGCGACTCTTCCGACTATAGCATACAGAAACCCTTTCCTTAGTTCGCGCGAACAGCTACAGGCCAGCTACCAACCAACACGCAACCTTGCACATTTCTTTACTGGTGCTGCTGTCATCCCGCACCGAATTACCATTTTGATTAGCGTTTTTGCTGCATTTGCCTATGTGCAAACCCTGAATTTTTGCGCAGACCTTCAGCCTGCGGACGGAGTATGAACGGAGCGGATATATCGGTTACAGATTCAACAAATAGACGGAGTTTAGGAGATGTGTGCGATGGAATCGGTCGTTTTTTACTTGTTCAGACGCACGTCACGATTCTTGAAGGAATTCACGAAAGAGAAGGGAGCATGTGGGTCCGACAGGAAACGTATGGGCCGTGCTGTGCCAACCACTAGCAGTCCATATAATTAGCAGCCACGACCTCACACAGTTTCGGGCGAATTAATCTGTATCAACCATTGAACTTTCCACGTTCGTTACTGATGCTCTGACGCATATGTGATAGCATGGCCTCAGGACCGTAATCAAATTCTAGTCCAGAACTGGAAGTGGACTCTCTGACAAAGCAATTGTCAGCTAACATGGATGCATTCATAGTTACATCAGAGTGGATCCTGTCAGCAGTCATCATCCTTGCCCATCTACCTACGAACCAGCCAACTAACTAACTAACAAGGTCTCCATAATCTACTCAGGATTGAAATTGGCATAAGCACTGATCGAGGCGATTATGTGCGTGTGTTTACGAGTATCCATATATATTTTTATATAGATATGTATATGTATTATCATCTCAAAAAGCTTAGCGACGAAGCACCACTTTAGTTAAATTGATTTAATGCCCGTCATGCAATACCACGTGCAGGTAGTAGTCTTTCCTGTTTCCTTTTTGCGGGGAGCGAAGACTTGGAGAAGAAGATGAAAGACAAGATAGCAGATAATAGCAGTTAACTATGTATTTTAGCTGTATTGTTATGTTAATTACTGGGTATTAATATCGCTAATTACTACCGCTCCTTCCGCATCTACGTACGCGCGCGCAAGCACAAAGAACATACATAATGATCAATCATTGTTCGTGTGGGGCAAGCAACCCAACCCCACCCCGTTCCTCGTCTCCCCCAACCGGTGTGACCGAGGACGTCGAGATAGAGCGCTTTGCTTTGCTTTGCTTGCTTTGCGTTGCGTTGCGGCAGTATGCTCCGCTACTAAGGGGTTGGTCTGTGTATGTGGCACTGTGAAAACAGGGTTGCGGACGCGGATACAGGCAGCGGATGTGCGAGGTGCGGGTGTGCGGCAGCGGATGCAGAGAAAGGCGATACAATGCCAAGACAGAAGGCGGCTGATGTATCACACCCGAGATCGCGGGCTCTGGTCGTGTCAGGCATGTATGTCATGGTGTTTTGGGGCTTGTGGCTGTGGTTGTGGTTGTGGGTGTGTTGTGCAGGGTTAGGGGTGCTTTGGATTGTTTCAAGTTTTGAGAGGCGCTGGTTGTGATGATGATGGTGGTGGTGATGAGGATTTGGATGGTGATGAGGATGATGATGATGATGATGATGGTGTCGGCGGTAATTTGTGTGTAGTTGGTTGGTTGGTTGGGGGGGTTATACGATCGAATGCCTGAGGATTAATATTATGAGTGAGTGTTCGGAAGAATCCATAGGTGGGCGGGTGCATGGATGCCGGGTTCTGTCCGCTCATGGACGACGGCGGTCTGTGATGTCCTTGTCGTTGTATTCCCGGTATCTGGAGCCTGTTCTGTCTGTGTGGTGTGGTGTGTGCTAGGATAGGAAGATAGGGAGTGAGAGGAGGGTGGGATGTTGTACGACAATGCAGGGCTATCCTGGAGAGCCAGGCTTGGGGAGGCGTGAGGAAAATCTACAGAAGTCTGTCGCGCCTGTTGATGACTGGTATGGGGGCTGTCATGCAGTGTTGATTACTTTGAGCCTCATAACCCTGGTATGCCTGAAAGGGCGGTGCGATGTGTAATCTTGGATGATGGGATAGGATATGACGGAGTGGATGCGGCGTTTTCGCGGTCCTATTATTCCGGACTGGGATAGATGCTTTTTTATGGACGAATAAAGCCGTTGAATTGCTGTGTTGGTACTAATCTATAGACGTTGGCAGGAGAGTGTTTCAGAATCGACTCGATTCAGACTCGAAGACGTGACGTGCAATTGGATGAAGGAGTCAACACCGGCATGCGATGCCTGGACCTTGGGACGTCAGTCTCTCATCTGATGTCGAACATGGACAGCTCGACTTCTCCTCGCTTTGACATGTCCGGCACCTCTCCGTTCATCAAACCGTGAACATATGCGTCACCCAATAGGGTATATGCGCCTCGCTGCAATCGTACCACGTACAGCGCTTGCCCACCGAGCAGAGCACACACTTTGTCGCCGGGCTTCATGTCTGACGGCCCTATGCCAATCCGGCCATCCCTGGTTGCGAATATGCGTCGACCGTGAGACCAGTCTTGGACGAGCTTGATATACTCTGATTGCACACCGCCTTCGAGATTTGCCTTGATGTATTTGACATGCTCGAGCAGCGGTATTGAATGCGTCTCAGTCGAGCCAGGAATGTAGGTGTAGAATGGTGCGAGCTTTAGGGATCTTTTGCGCATCTTCTCTTCAACCTCACCTTCAACATCAATCCAGTGTTTTATATAGCTGCAGAAATTCTGGAGTCTGAGATCCTCATCTTCCTCATCACCCCCGATCAGCCCATCTCCGCATGTTGTCGCCATCGCAAAAGCAACGTTGAACTTATCAGGGGGAACCTTGTCCATCATACGCGCCATGTGTTTCCACTCTGTAAAGATCTCAGGAGAGCCTAGGCCATTAAAATGGTGGGCAGCCCACCTTGCAGCTGCTAGTCGGTTGTCTTTACTGACGAATTTGATCTCATCGCCCAGCTGCTCTCGCGCGCTGATCTTCGCTGTTGGGCTTTCCTGGAGCCATATGCGTAGTCGCGCAAGGGAAGGTGAGCAATACTTGACAGTGTCGACTGCAAACCCCTTCAGCGATAGCACGTTAGGATCCTTCACTGTGCCAAGCTCAGCCGTGCTATTGGGGAACGCTCTGAATTGGGATAAGTATCCCAGAGCTATAGACGGTGGTTTTCTAGAATTTGAACTCTCAGCAAATCTCACCGGTATCACAGTCGATTCATAGCGTGTAGGTGCCCAGTCTGGAACCCAGGAGAGCAAATGTTTGCTAGAGCCCGAGAACAAGCGTTGCGATATCGGATTGTGAGCTCGCTTTCCGTGACTTGGAGCTGACCAACATCCGAGATCTCGCGTTGTAGATATGATGTATCGAGCAACATCACGATGGACATCTTGTGGGCACTTTCTGTAGTTCGGCTGAAGCTCCACAGGCCAGTTCCGCAAGCCCTTGACGTCGATCGACATACCAACTAATGCGAAGACCTTATCTCGAGGATCGTGGGAGTCGAAAATCGGACTTAGCTCTGCGAGCAAGGAAGCCAGAGACCATTGGCCTGCCAATCTCCGGACTTCAGCGATCGCATCGATGTTAAGCAGCTCGTGTGGAACTTTGAGCAGCCAGCTATAGCCATTGCGAAAGAGCCAGGTTGAAGCCCAAGAGAGCTTCTCCCATGTATACATAGTATGACCAAATATGATCCAGGGGTCTGCAGGCGATACGACGACCTCTTGTATGACCCATACGCGACGAAACCAGGAAGCCTGTGCAAGTTTCTTGAACGCGAACCATGGCCGGGAGTCTATGTTCGGGATACCGAGTTGTTCATGTTGAGATGGAGTGTAAGCCTTGTCGAGAATATCTGCGGACTCTGTTGCATTAGGATACTGGTGGCGACATATACTGTAGAGGTGGTCGAGAAAGGCCAGGGCATCTTCGGCAAAGTCGTCCTGAGGTCCAAGCCAGATCAGTGTTCTCAATGAAGCTGAGTAAATCGATTGCATCATTCTGACTTGACGGGCACGCTCATCAAGATCGGACTGGTTGATGCATATCTGATCTATCCACAGATAGGGACTCTCGAATTTGTATTGTCGCTTGGTCTCGCCGTGGCCCATGTCCCGCAGATGCCTCAGTGCCGTGTGTAGATCGGGAGTGACCTGCAATGACAACCCTTGGCATATTATCGATGTCGCCTTGTCTACCTGACCCCATCTATAGCTCAGTGCGTAGAAGGGTGGCGCTTCCGCGATACTCGTTGTGATCAGCTCGCACCTGACATGTTCATTATCATCGGCTTGAATGAGCTTCAGCAGACGTATTTCCTCTTCTGCGTCCTTCAACGGACTATATACATATGCTTTGGGAGCCATTAGCCGAACTTCCGATAATTGATTGTAAGTCCATCCTGAAAAGCATGTCGAAGACAGGATGTTAGACGTATCGACTATCCCAATTGGGAGCGAGGCTTGCTGAGGAACGCCCGGGCCCTTGCCAAGGCTGTCTTGGTACTGAGTAAGTTAAAGTCGTGGACTTTCGTGTTGGCAATCATTTCACGTATTCATACACGATTCGCGTGTCGATGTGGATTGGGATACATCGGTCAACATGTCGCACTTTGCACATTTTCTCGACAGGCAAAAGATCTTGAAATCTCCTACCGTCAACCAGAAGACAGCCATACGCGCCGCAGAGCCTTTGCATCCTTACTATCCTCTTGGTGTCGATATTGCGGGATATGAGGCAAATGAATCGTCTGTCTTAACTCTTCTAGGAGTGTTTTCGTCCTTGTGTGTGGCACTTTTCGCCATCACATATGTGGCCGGTCGCAGAGTTCGTGCAAATATCTCGAGGGGAGATCTAGTTACCATGATGTGGTTTGTCTTATGTGTGACGATGCGCAACAAACTCATTATCAAGCTCCGAGCTGACTTGTCTCAAGGCGGATCGCTCCATGTGTTCTTCGAAGGGTATTTTGTGCTCAACTTTCGCGAAATGGGATCGCGGCAAGACCTCTTTGGGCAGCTCTGGAAAGAGTATGCCCTGTCAGACTCGCGATACCTGACACAGAATACCTTTGTGCTTTGCATGGAGACAATCACATCTGCAAGTGCTCCGTCCAGCTGTGTTAATGGTTCCTCTCGGTGCTAATAGATCGAGTCAGTTGATCTGGGGACCCGTCTCATACCTGACAGCAGCCCTCATTGCCATAGATAGTCCATATCGGTATCCGTTCCAAGCGATTATATCGCTGGGCCACCTCTACGGGGACGTTCTCTATTACGCCACCAGCATTTTCGATGACGTCCTCCTCGATAGGCAATATTCACGACCGGAAGCTTATTACTTCTGGGGCTACTATTTCCTAATGAACTTTTTCTGGATCGTCGTACCACTAGGTGCGCCAATACCTGCCACGCTATTTCACAGCCGCTGACTTCGAGCAGTTCTACTCACAAACAGTGTCAAGGCCAGCGCCAGTGCTTTCATAGCTCTGCAAAAATCAGAGAAAGTGCTGAAAGCGAATGGATTTGCGAAGAAGCTTCAGTAGTTATGAATGTGTCGGCGTGGGCGGGGATAGGATACAAGGCCGGGTGAGGCGCAAGCATGTAGCGGGTGAGACCTGTGGCGATCTAAGTGCATCTGATTACTTGCATATTGGTGATAATTAGTACGAATTGCACATTACTTCCGGACGAGCATTGCTGTATAATGAACGGCAAGCACATGTGCGACGAGGTCTGATGACCACGGACAATGACAATGACAATAACGACAACGTCAGCCAGAAGATGCAGAAGACAATGTAGCCAGCATCGATCGTATGAGATCAAGGATCAACCCAGCATTGATGAAAGGTATCACAGAAATTCTGGGAAAGGTGGCTGTAGCATTCCGACAGCAACAGGTTTGCGATGCCCAGCCAAGCCTCGTGGCGCGTGCTTAGCTCCATCTCGATGTTGTCAGGGTAAATACCTAGGTGCTAAACAAAACGATCGCCGTGCCTCGCATGACTACGCACATCTGTCCGTCGCTTGATTGTATACCCTCATTTGCTGCATTAAGTTGCATACTCTTTCTCTAGACCGTAGTGTACCCTTAAATTTATTTCCCTTCCCTCGATCATATCGCGGCTGTGGTTGGCACGCCAATAGTGGGGCGAACCACGACTGTACGAGCAAGCTGGAGCTAGATATCTAGAGAGCCAAACAATACTCCGACATCTACCAGCACTCCCTAGCCACACGACATATACGTTGCGCTCAATTCAGTCACGGATGAGATCCCCTCAGTCAAATCGCTCTGGTCTCCAGCTGCATCATTTCTGTAGTAGACTGGCCTACAACGAGCCTGCCACAAGGTGCGTAAGACTCCTCGCGTCCAAACAAAGCCTAGCATAGCTTTGGCTCTTCTGATACTGTCTGCACGATACCTTCATGCTAATCGCATATTAATATAGGCTCCAATGACCGTAAAAGACAGCCCTCAGACTCTTCGAGCGTCACCCCAGCACGAAAAAGATGCGACGACACCCAAGATCAAAATCGTTACGCCAAAACCAACCGAAAAGACGACTGCGAAAGCCAGCGGGCTGAAATTGGGAGCTGGACCTGGCCCAATCGATCCTAAGAGTGTGCAGGACAAGGTTCGTAAATGGCAGACAACTGGTGGAGGTGTCGTGGTCACTCCAGATTCAAACGCTGCGCCAGACAACGACCGTATCAAAGATAAGCCTGAAAGTCCCCGGAAAGGAACCAAAGATAAAGAAATCACACCGGTGGCACCCAAGGTGGAGATTCGAGTGAAGTCGGCCAGCAAGCCAAGACACAATACATTGGACGACGAGTTGCGAGATGCGATCGCACCAAAAAAGAGAGTTGTAAGCGATGGCCATTGGCGAAAAAATCGATCGCCTCCTAAAGAGGGAAAGCCAATTGGTTGGGTACGCGAACGGCCAAAAGCTAAGCCAGTGGAGGAGGAAGAGACTGAGCAAAAGGTCATCAGCAAAATCCCGGACCATGTTGCGAACGAGTCGAACGTTCTCCGCAAAAGAAGGCAATCAGCGGCTGTCAAAGCTGGAATAGAAGCGTTCAAGACGGAGGAGATCAAGCCCACCAAGGCTAACAAACCAGTTCGTGACTGGGTCGAGACAATCGAAACTTCGAAGATATCTTCCTCTTCTTCGAGGCATCACGAGCTCAGTTCACCAGTCACTACACCTGTTGAAATCAGGACGCCAAGACGAAGACGAAGATCGTCTCCCAAGTTCGACCACAGTGAGGACGCTGCGCAGGTCCCATCATCTGAAGAATCTGCCGAGAGGACGCCGACTCGGCACCGCAGGAAGAACCGGCGGTCTCCACGAGCCAGTGATAATGTCGAGGAGGCTAGCAAACCAACGATGCCAGAAGGCGAGAACGTAGAACCGCCCGACTCTAGGAAGCGTCTTCAGAAGAAACGAGAATTGTCCTTGTCAAAAGCCAAAGACCCAGATGCGCCAGTGGGTGTGCATCCAACCCGTATCGAAGCCTGGTTAGACACAACCTCGGATCCTTTTGTCGAGGCGAAAACGAAATCTCGTGGATCATCGATAATCTCATCCCAGACAGGCTCGTCGAGCGTGTCGACACATACATACGACAGCCGCAGCAGTATAAGTCGGACGGACCAAAAAGCCACATCTGATCGCGACAAGGATGCGGAATCAGGCAAGAAGAGAAGACGACGCAGTCGACGGTCGCCTACATCCTCCGAAGGAACTGCCACTGAAGATTCACAACAAAAACATGAAGCCATCGACCCAAGTCGGCCAGACACAAAATCTCCTCCAGCCAAGATATTGAACACAGAGCCGGAATCGAGTTCTTCGCCTTTGAAACGGAGCGGAGCACGCCGAAGCGCGCAGTCTCCCACGAAAGCAAGACCAAGAACGCTTCAGCTACATGAAACATACGATGATGGTAGTGTCGTATCCTCGGCCCCGTCCTCGTCTGTGGAAGGGTCGATGTTTGATGCTCCAGAGCCAACAGCAAGAGCTCGGCCCACAGACCAATTTGGCCGGCGAGCTTTCCCGACAACTGGTAAAAGACTATCAACGATAGCTTCAGTTGACACCTTCAACGCGAGAATGCAACGAGCACCGTCTATTGCACAAGGTTCAGAGCCCGCAGAGTCTGTACTTGACGACACGAAATCATCCGCTACGGTCAAAAGCCGTCGCAGTGTTAGAAATAAAACTGTTTCACATGCGGACCTCATGTCCGTTCTTTCCCTTCCAAGATCCAAAAGCAAGAGCCTCGTCTCCGCACACAGCATTCGCACTTCACGCACTCGACTCGAAACGGCAACAATACAGGATCTCATGAAAGAACTTTCCTCGGACGAAGATAAATATAAGAGAGAGCTCAATACCCTCGTCGACGGTGTCATTCCTGTCTTGCTTGCTTGTGTTCTCTCCAAGTCAGACGCGGCTGTCGCAGCAGGATTGTTCAGCACTTCAGCATCAAAGCAAGATCCCAATTCTACCAAGCCAATTGTTGACATGGGTATCGCTCTAGAAAGACTGAAATCTTTACACAGACGGATTCCTCTAGAGGACGACAGCGCCTTGCTATCCTGGGCCCAGTCTGCGCAGCGTATCTACACTGACTACATCAAGACCTGGCGACTGGGGTTTCAGAATGTCGTGGTCAACCTGGCTCCTGCAAGTGAAGACAGTCCCACAACGAAGACACTGGAGTCACACAGCAAGCCTAGCAAAAGTGCTTGGGATGAAGGTCTTCCACGAAACGCAGAAGGCTATGTTGTCAATGATGATGGGGAAAGAGTTGACGTGGCATTCCTTCTCAAGAGGCCTCTTGTGAGATTGAAGTGGCTGGCAAAGACTTTCAAGGTATGTGAAACGACCCAGTTACTCTCACGCTTGGCTGACCTGTGTAAAGGGTATCAACTTTCTCAAGCCTTCAGAAAAGGCAGAGACGACTTCTCTGGCATTTCAGGATCTTGTCCTCGATGCGCGCAAAAGAAATAACGAGGAGCGTGCTCGTATGGAGGACGAAGCTGCAGCGTCTATAGATCCCACGCGCGCAAGAGATCCGAAATCCTTGACGGCACTTCAAGGTGTCGCCATCGACCCGGCTCGCTGTGTAAGAGCTCGGGATTATTTCGACATGCATCTTTTGCATACTAGTGGGCAAGAAATCGATTGTCGTGTCGAATTGCTGCTACGAGATGACCCACCTGCGAATGGCACTGGCGGCGATGTATTGATCTGTGATCTGGACAGCGCTGATCGTTGGTTATTCTTTCCTCCAATACAAACAGGGCGGATATCAGCACGCAAAGGTGATAGCCCCGAGGAGCTCGTCGTCATGATCCGAGGCCTCCAGTCCGGCGGAGAGGAGTGGAAAGAGGTTTTTGTTCTGAAGAGCACAGACGAAGATTCTGCGCTTGAGTGGATACAAATGCTTGGAGATAGCCCAGTCCCGCCTCCTCTGGCTCAGATATCCAGTGCTGCCAGCTTTGTCAGCAAGTCCTCGCTACAGTTCAGCAGCTACGACTCCTCTCTAGTATCAAGTGCATACACTGCATCCACAGCAATAACATCACCGGCCCGGAGTCGGAATCCAAGCCCGCGAGAGTTTGACGTTCCTCTTGGAGAGCCTGTAAGAGGAGCCTCCAGGCGCTGGAGTCAGGCTTCCACTCCAACCAAGAATACCGGCCACAGATTAGAAGATTTACCAAAAACTCCTCCAAGCAAAGAACGCGAAGAGAGCACCAAGACCCCAAATTCCAGTGCCCGTCAAAGCCGCAACGAAAACGCAGTCACTCCAAGGGATCTGAACGAGGCCATGCAGGCTGCCGGAACAGATTCTACCGGACTGCGACGATCTAAGGCGACTCGCTTTGCGAGATCGACACCTACCACACCCACCATGGATGCGCCTATTCCAGAAGAATCTGAACCAGACGAGTCAATTCATGGACGAATGCGCTCATACTCATCCACTCCTCAGGCGACTGCGAAAGTCAGCAAGGACTATAGCGTTTGGTATCCCCCTTCTAACTCTAATGATCATGAGGATGAGCCCCTGGACGACACCACGTGTCGGAAACGAGAATCTCTGAAAGAATCTCAAAGGCCTGTTATACATCGTCGTGCATCCTCAGTACCCTCCACAGACCTTCCCATGATACCGCGTGTAAGAACCAGTAGTCAACATGATACAGTTCGAGCCGTCGCCGCACCTCTGCGTATGGATCGCTCTGAATCAGCGCCGGTCCTCCCAGCGAAAGTGGAACAAGACCTTAGCAAGGATCCAGAAGACTCTCCACCACCTCCTCCACCACACCGATCTCCTCCGAAAACTGGTCTAAGCAATCTTATTGCACCTATTCTGTCTCCATTTCGCACCAAGCGGCGCTCGTCATCACCATTGAAACACGAGTACGAGCCGTCCACGGCAACTGAGTCCTCCTCAGAGAGCGAAAACAACTCGTCTGATGATGAAGGCTCGATCATTTCTGAGTCTTCGGAAGACAGTTTGGACGAAGAATTTGATGTTCCAGTAGAACCGCCTCCTCCGACCCCGCCTCATATGCAGCCCGCGCCTCGACCTAATTCTTCTGGATCTCTGCCGGAGACTTCACTAGGCCCATCAAGCTCGGCATCTCAGAAGCCCTACAGAGATATTCCGGGCGCAGCGAGTATAGCATACAAAGGCGTAGCCAATATCTTCACGTGGAGAGAGGAACCTGGTCGCGTTGCGTCTTGGGAACCTCTTTCTAAAGAGCCTTGCAGCGTTGTCATCAAACCGGGCTTCATTGAGGTTTTTGAGCTAAATCAAGCTCATGCGCAGCCAGAACTAAACGACAGTGCTCGCCCTTTGCTAGCTCTTGGTTTAACACCTAATGTATTGGTACACCGAGGAACGAATATTGACATCGATATCCGCTCGCCTCCTCTCGGTCTCTCGCTCCTCAAGGCTGGTGGACGTACTATGTTTCGCAGCCTCTTCCCAATGGCGAGCGAAGAACTCTGGCAGGCTGTGAGATGGTCGCGAGAAAACAATCCAACGTTCATCGCCTTGCAGAATGCACGCGGTCAGGAGCCACAGGTAGTCACTTGGGCCGCGCAACAAGACATGAACAACGCCGCTCGTCCGGATACTCGTGCCGGTAAACCTCGCTGGAGCCTTCCAGCATCACTCAGTCGAAGTCGCTCATACCGCGCGTCGAGCACACGCGCTCTAAGTATCAACAGCTCTGTCGAATCGAAATCGTCATTCTTCTCGTCGCTCAAACGTTTCGGCGGCAGTGGCCGATTTAGCATCGCTCGCTCATCGGTTGACTATCGCGGCAGCCCCAGCACTGTCGCTGTAGACATGACGACAGAGGCATCCGGGTCAAGCTCTGGCGGCAGCACTCCTATGTCGCCAGACGGACGTGCAGCAAACGTGCCGATTGGCGTCAGCAATACTAAGATCCGCTTCCACAAGTCATCCGGCCAAAGACGATGGAACGATCTCGGCAAGGCACGACTTCATATTATGGCTCCGACTGAAGTCTCTCCGCTCACACCAGGCGACAAACGAATACTGGTGGTCACGAAAGGTGGCGCCGTACTGCTAGACGCAACGGTACCCGAAAACGCCTTTGAAATCTACGGCCGTGTCGGTATCGCTGTCAAGGTCGTCGAGGACATTGTCGGCAAAGACGGCACCGTCGGTGGAGCAGCCGCAACTGGTGGCGTCGGCAGCAAGCGACTTGTTGTGTATATGCTGCAGTTCAAGAGCAATCGACAGTGCAAGTACAATTTCTTACAGCTAGGCAAAATGAGATACTAGGAGTCGGATGACGACGATGACCACGACAACGACCGAGAAGATGCTCAGCTACCCACTCGAAGCCCATATTTTCCCATCGGGTAACATTTACACAACCGCCCTTTTTCTCTCCGCGATTTCTCTTCCATCAACTGTCTAGATATATACCTCGGTTTTCATTTCTGCACACTATTACGTGTCAGAAAGGCAGGCAGGCAAGCATGTCACACATACATAAACCTTCAATGTTCCAACTGTTTTATCGGCCTTTTTTCTTTCTTTTTTCTCAAGGCGCCCGGAACAGGTCGGCGGCGGTGCATTGAAAGCGGATATCGGGGGATGAAACTGATAGATTTGTTGTCCTTTGCTCTTTTTATTTGCGTTTCTTTGCGGTTTTATCTACGCGCACACATATATATATCCCATCACCGAGCTTGATGTCGTCCTTTATCGCGGGGGACTGCATTCATCACGCATTGTACGGGGCTATACGGTTGTATGTGTGTAGGTATGCATATATGTATGTATATCGCCCCTGTGTCAGAGGGGCGCGTAATTTGATTCATGACGTGTCGTTCGTCGTTTGTTAAGTTGTTGTTGTATTGTTGTGGACGTGTGCTTGCTCGTGGAACTTACCTCTTTTGGAGGTGGAGTTGAGTTTGTGCGTGCATAGCCGTACAAATACGTGTGAGAGAACACACAACTAGGTCTGACATGAGAAGTCACAGAAGCAGACGGATTATGGAGGGTGGTTTATTATATTATGTAATCACATCATGCAAAAGTAACATGGGTTAGACAGAACCACTCGTAGACTTGGGTGTTATGACTGTTACTTCACTTTGCATACATGTTTTCGTGTCATTAGATCGTTATATGGACGTGAGAGGAACTTGGGTGCGGATATATGCATTTATATATACATATATATATACACATATATATGTGTGTGCGTCTGTGGAGAGAGAGAGATAGGAATAATAAGGAGATACACAGAGAGACATTACGAGGGGAGTGGGTATGAAGTGATCATGTCTTGCATGTGGGAGGGAACTATTCAAAGTTGTCTGCCATTTAGAGATTCGGGGTTTATAGTGGATGGGTGAAGGGTTTATCCGCGGTAGCCTTCAGCGCTTGTGTCTGCGTCTGTTGCTACGGCGGTAGTGGTGGTGTTTGGGTCTGAGCCGTGGAGTGGTTCGTGAGTTTCCCTGGTATCATTGTCAGTGTCCAGGCACGGTCGGAATAGGCAAGCAGTCAAGACTTACGGATCGATGCCGTGCTCTTTCAACCACTTCTTCGGCGGCTCCTTGTGGAGCTTGTTCCGGCCCTCGTGGCTCGCATATCCGATGGCTGAGCGCTCTGGCGTGCCAAAGGACGAGTGCTCGCCCGACGGACGGTCTTCGTCGACGGAGCCGCGCTGCGAGCCTTCCTTGTCTTTGCGCTTGAACAGCGACGATAGTCCTTTGTGCTTGCGCTCTGAGTCGGGAGTGTCGGTGGATGCCCGCGGAACTTCATCGTGGGTGGATGTTGTTGCATCCGTTGCGGAACGCTCATCATGGCGCTGGGCGGTTTCGTATGCGCCGACGCCCGCGACGCCTGTACCGGCTACAGCGGCAGCTTCTTTGCTATGGTGGGTGTCGGCTTGAGAGTCCTTGACGAGCGTTGGGTCGGTTGTGGTTGTAGACTGGTGCTGGGTTGTGGTATAGGGGTTAGGAGCGATAGCAGCATCGCCTACAGGATGAATTTGTTGCTCTTGCGCATGGATAGGGTCAGTGCGTCCCATGGGCTCAGCTGCAGTAGTCGACGTGAGATCAGTTGCCGCGGCTGACGTAGGGTCTGATGCCACAGTCGATACAGGCTCATCATGATGCTTGATTGCTTCATAAGCACCAACGCCAGCAGCTCCAGCACCGCCCACGACAGCAGCATCTCTGCCACGATGACTCTCATCTTTCTCGTCCACTAGTTCATCAGTATCTTTGCCATCTTTGTCCTTCTTGAAGAGACCTAGGAAGCCACCCTTCTCAGCCTTCTTCTTCTCCTTTTCTTCACGTTCGAGTTCCTTTTGTCTCTCCTTCTCCCGGCGTTCAGCCTCCTTTTGATGCTCTTTTTCTAATTTTTGAGCTTCTTTCTCCTGTTCCTTTTGCTCTTTTAGGACAGCCTTCTCGTGCTCTTTCTCTTCTTTGGCGACGAGCTTTTCGTGCTTCTTCTGCTCCTTCTCGGCCTCTTTCTCGGCAGCCTTCTGCTCTTTCTTGTGTTCCTTTTCGGCTTCCTTCACTTCCTTCTTGTGCTCCTTTTCGGCTTCTTTGATTTCCTTTTTGTGCTCCTTCTCGGCCTCTTTGGCTTCCTTCTTGTGTTCTTTCTCTGCAGCCTTTTGATGCTCCTCAGCCTCCTTAGCCTGAACTTTCTGCACGTGAGCAGCTTCCTCGGCCTGACGAGCTTGTTCAGCTTCTCGTTCCTTTGCTTGGTGCTCGTGAAGACCGTAGGCACCGGCACCGACAAGGCCAGCTGCACCAGCCACGCCAGCTGCCACTTTGCCCGTGCTCTCAGAGTCTTTCTCTGTTTCGACTGGCGCAACCTCATGTTTGGCGTCTGTTGTAATAGCTTGACCAGGCTGAGTGATCTGAGCAGCCGGATCAGGAATATTCGACTGCTGAGTGGAGACAGGGGCGGTAGTTATGGGCTGTTGAGACAAAGGACCTTTTTCGTGCTCGCGGTTCAAAGCATAAGCACCAACACCGGTCGCACCAACACCGGTCGCACCAACACCGGTCGCACCAACACCGGTCGCACCAACTACACCAGCACCAAGAGCAGCGTCACGACTAAGATGGGTTTCAGGAGCTACATTAGTCGGTTGACCAATTACTGTGGGTGGTGGTTGACTTGAAGCTGCTGAGGCGGCTGCTGTAGTTGTTTGAGTAGGTCTGTCATCGGGTTTGCCCAAGGCATACCCGCCGACTGCACCGGCACCCAAAGCAGTTGCACTATCTCCAATCATTTCTTTGCCATGCCCTTCCGTGTGTTCTGGCTGTCTCTCTGTATTCTTAATATCACTCAAACCCCCAACAGCAGAAGCTCCATATATCGCCTGATTGGGGGAAACACCTCCTCTAGCAACTTCTCCAGCAGGACCAGGAATAGAATCCATGCCTCCAACGGCTTCTTTACCATAAATCTGCTGATTTGGCGTGGCTCCTGAGGGCCCTGAATTCGCGATCTGTTCGATTGAGGGCTTGGAAGTAGTGGGTTCTTTCGAGTCATGGCCGGAAATGGCCTGGGATGCAACAAGCCCAGCAGCACCTGTACCTCCTGCAACAGCTGCGTCTCGACCATATTGGTGATTCTGGCTAGTCTTGGGTGCAGCTTCAGTCGTGGTTGCAGGATGTGTAGTGTTTGTCGAAGCCGGCGCAGGAGTGTTCGTTGGCGGAATCGTGCTAGTAGAGATTGGAGCAGCAGTCTCAGGTTGGATGGCCGGCGAATCAGTACTAGATGGAAGTGTTGTTGAAGCCTGAGAGGATGTTGCAGCATGAGATGTATCTGCAGTCTTCGATACGTTTTTTGGAGTCCCACGGGCTCCCCCAAGCCCAAGTGCCACAGAGGCTGCCGTCAATGCACCACCCTCCGGAACACCTTTAATTGGATCGTAGGTTGGTGGGGCCTGCTCGGTTATAGGCGTTGGCGCTGGAAAGCTTCCTGTGGTAGAAGTCAGAGGCTGTGTTACTGGCTGATGTAGGAAGTTCGGACTCACCAGGCATTGGAAGGGGTTCGCTGTCAAGTCGACTCAAACTACCACGCGCTCGAGACTCAATATATTGCTGACCAGCATCCCTGCCATCGTCGGCCTCAGTGTCAATAGCCGTACCTTGATTCATGTCTGCGACCGAGCTTTTTATACCGTAATTCCCAGGAAGATTCCCGGCAGGAGTCGGATAAGGTGGAGATTGTTCAGGTGCAGGATCGCCAGACTCAAGCTTGTATGACGTAGCTGTCTGCAACAGGAGTCTCGTTAGAATATGCGCGGCTATATCAATGTCTTATGGAATACTTACGTATGTTCCACCGGGTAAAGCCGTTCCGGCAGCAGAGTCACCTGATCCTGTGATAGTGGCGCGTGAAGTGGTGGAGATTGGTTCACTCGTCTCAGATGGCCCCGTTCCAATGGAAGTCAGTGCTGTGTCGCCTAAGAATGCTCCGCCGGTCAGTCCTGCCACTCCCAAAGTAGCTTCTCTAGCAGTGTTATCTTTGGGTGTAGCAGCCGCAGGAGCTATCGTAGCTGATGATCCCTGTGTCTGCTGGGTGGTTGGAGCGGTTATGGTCGCAGTGGTCGAAACAGGTGCCTGACGATGAATCGGTGAGTATGAAGTCTGTTTCTGAGACGCGACCGGAATTGCGCTGGTAGCCGTTCCTGGTGGAGGCAAAGAGCTCGTCGGAGCTGGAGCGTCTGAATTGACTTGTGAAGCAATGCCAACACCAGCTATTCCACCAGGAGAAGCAGCTGATGGTAGGATAGAAGGAGTGGTCTCTGTCTGCGGGGCAATTGATGCAAGCTTCTTTTCAGGAGACTGGCCGACTACTCCAGACTTGACACTTGCTGCGCTTCCTGCCTCTGCTCCGACGGGACCAGCTTGACCTGAATCACGAGAAGAGTCCGGCTGTATATTCGTTGCAGATTTTACCGGCGCTGGCACAGATGATGATGTGGAGGACCGATTTTCGTCGGCTTTGTCACGCTTGAATCTGAAGGACATGAGCCAATTCGATGTAGTTTAGGAGCGAACGTACATGCTTCCAAGCTTTGACTTGATTTTGTCACCTGTACTGACCTTCTCGACTTTGGACGAGCTCTGCGATGCTGTGCTATCAAGTGGAGCGGACGTGGAAGCCTTTTCCTTGGCGGGATCAGACTGGTAAAGAACTTGGTCGTCCTTTTCGTGGCCGGGATTGCTAGACGAAGGTTAGTGAACAGGATCTATAAGTGGAGTATGCAAACAGGCGTACAGAGCGTCCTGGACCTTCTCCATCGGGAATCAATTAGCAAGACAACAGAGTATCGTGGGAAGTGAAGCTGGGGTATGAGTAGATAGGCGAAGTTGAGAGCAAGGGAAGCTTGACAAAGAACAAGGGAAGCTTGACAACGAGCATGTAAAAGTAGCTCAAGCAGCACCATCTTGGTGCTGTCGTCATTATTCCGAGCCATTCGATGCAAGCGCCGGCATGAGCGGGGCAACAAATGAAGGGCTATAGGTACTCACCGCTGCTGCACTAGCGGAGTGATTAGCTTGAAGATCTGCAGGACGTCAAGCCTGAATGCTGGATGTTGGACAGTAGTGTTGTGTAGTGTAATTAGTCTCGTGAATCGTGTCAACTTCTCTTTCACCTGGGCAGACTGTTTATGGCGTGGCTTGGAAGTGAGGTCTACCTTACGTTGATGACCTCATAGATGTGTAGCATCTACCTGCTGCTGGCCTTGTGGTCAACCGTACAGCTACAGACCTACACCACATGCTTGGTATAAGTATATATAGCCCTAAAGTAGATACTGCACGCCTCCTGTTGCTCGTGTAGGTATCGTCTAACTCAAGGCTATACATGATATGTGGTTGATCCCCATACACGATGACGTCGATGGTGCTAGCTGCCGGGTATATCTTAGCACGCTTAGAGTCTACACGTGACGTGGATGCGCACCGCCACAGAACTAGTGGGCCACAAGTAGGTCTGTCTGTAGCCTGTCCAGCCAAGAAAAACTAGCAACGCGCGGCACCAAACTTCAAGTAATACCGACTGCGGCTCCTGATCATAGTAGCAGGTGTGGCTGTAGGAGTCAACATACAAATGTGGCAACCTTAGTAAGGAGGATGAGTCTCCAACGCCCTACCCGTTATACACAGACTCCTTCGATTTCAGTAGATCATATTCCGTATATGCGCCATTTTACTCTATGGCAGATTTCATAAGCTAAACTACACGCCAGACTATCGAGATCTTTGAATCTACCAATCGAAGACTTACTTGTAGCCTCCATGTTAGACGGTATGCATACAAATTATCTGCGCTTCTCTTGGCTCTGAATACCATGCATTCTATCCCTGTTATCGATGGATGGATGCAATTCACAATCGAAAGATCGATGTGCGTTCTGGGACATTCATTGGAGGCCGCTAGATGTGAATAGTAGCCTACAAGATTGCCGGGGCTGTAGAGCTTACGATATTCTTTACTGATATGAAGACGAAAAAAGACATGATTTCGGTTGATCCCCAGCTGGTCTCGGGACGCTTGAAACCCGCATATGGATTGGGGATCCTTCGAACAGGGGCAAAGCCGGGGAGACACGTCTCAGCGAGTCAAGAAGACGATCAGGGTTTAAGAAACGAGGGAAACCAATCGTGGAGGCTGGCAACGCCGATGCAGACAGTGCTACCCCGGAGCCGGCACGATTACAGGAGAACAAGTTCAACTCCGCGACTTTCACTGACCATCGAGCTATGACCGCCTACGACAAGAGATTTAATTAGAATGAGACTCAAATATAGGGAGATGTGACGAGGGAGAATAGGGGAACTGAGGTGGATGGAAGAGACGTGTTGATGGTAGAGATTTGATGATGGCACACACTTGCTGATGGCACACACTTGCTGATAAAAGCAACAGGAACGGAAGAGCTAGTTATGACTGAGGACGCATAGATTGAAGAGACACTAGTTAATGAGGAAAGTGACAGGATTAAAACGAGAGACACGGTGTGAATGAAAGTTTGACGGAGAGAGACATGATGAGAGCATGAAAATGAGAGACATTCTGTAAACGACAGACATTAAACGAGAAAAGACTCCAATGAACGTAAAACCAAGTGAGACAAAACAGCAAAACGAAGCTAGTTCGCAACAACGTACACAGGATTGACGTCTTCGCGAACACTGCCTTCAGGAAGTTCGAAGTCCATCGACTTACTTACGCACAAACAAGTCGATAGTGTTGATATGATCCCGCCTCTTATGACCAGGTACTAGGATCTCGCCCAATCTATCAGAATCTAGCTTGTAATCAACTTCATATCTATCATACTTATTGAACATCTTCTCGCTTCTCGGCGAAGGCTGCATGCTTGGCATGATGTATCGTCCATGTGGGCTCCCCTGCCGTTCTAATTCCTCCTTCAGCAGTTTATATCTCTCAAGATCTTCGCAAATAATGGCTGCAGGAAGAGGAAGTCCCGTCAAAACCTGTGGCATAGGCAGTGCGCCGTCAAGGGAATGCCAGAAGACGAGTGTAGCATCGTCAATGTGAATGAGGCCTTCGTGATATGTGACGAATGGAGCTTTGCTCTCGTTCCGCGATTCGAGGACCTTCTTTGCCGCGGGGGTGTAAGAAGTATCCTGCAATACCAGCTGGACTGGGCTGTCGTATTTACTTGTTAACTTCTCTTGTAAGGAAATGACGAACTCGTGCTGATAGACGCAAGCTTTTTTCTCATTAAAGGCAAATTCTGTCGAGGGGAGACTGTCGAGTGGCCCAAGTCCGAAAGCGACTATCTTGGTGATAGGATGACGGTCCGAGACAGCTATGACTTTGTCTAATAAGGCTTTCGATGCGTCTTCTGAGCCCTCAGATAACGTTTTGTAATTTACTGTGATTTCCTGAACTTTTTCCTCATCAGGTAGCGTATTCCTTAGATTGCAGCCCATGTTATAAACAGGTTGACGATAGCCCCATGGATTTTCTTCAAGCCATTCAGAATCTCCAAGTTCTCCTAGACTGGCAAACTTGATTTGGTGTTGCGCTCTGTTCATGTTAGCGATGTAACATTCTCAATCAAAATTACGCTTCCCTGACGTACGAAACGGACTCAGCAACAGTCCCCAGATCGGGGAGTATACTGCTATCGACCCAAGCCCTGTATGAATCTAGTGTCTCAGCTGTACAGGGCCATGCATTATATTTATCATTCGAATAAGAATTATCAGGATGCATGAGGTTACTGGGCGGCCCGAAGTATGGATTGATCTTTTGATTCTCCTCAATGTAGTCATTTGCAATCTCTTTGTACCATTGTCGAATCAACTCGTTCATGACGTGACAATTGCCTTTATCGAGCTCCACTAGTTTAGTGATCCTCTTGATAAGTTCTAGCGGGAATAGAGGCTGTTTGGCTTCAAATTCCTTCCATTTGATAAGGTACGGATGAGGTGGCTGTTTCAAAATGTTCGTTTGTTCCATTTGGCGCTGCCTGGAGGCTGGACTGATGAAATGAATCTCTGATACGGAAAGTAAATGCATCCTGCCTCACGAGTCACGTCTCTTATAGAGGCTCTTGGGGAGGCGCGGCAACAAGGAAACAAAGGGTTTGCTTTTCTCAGGGTCAATCTCACAGAGGATGTTCATCGGCCACCAGTTCGCAAAGAACGAGGCCAAAGGAATTTGACTGACTCGTACATCATGCATGACGATGACAAGGAAAAGGACTGGAAGAGACGAGGAAAAGAAGAGGATTGCTGAAAAATACGTCTTGATCCATTAAAATTGGGTCTCGCAGGATGAAAAGAATGCGAAGATCAAAGGAAAAGCGTTCATAACGGAGCGAGAACGGATGTACGAATGGACGAATGGAGCTCGCTACGCTGTTTTCAACATGCTATGTATGCAAACGATCGTAAGTCAGAAAATCGAATACGAAGCCCTGAAAGGGAGATGGTGCCAGAAGCATGTGTCTATGATTTAGCCTCGCTGAATAGTTCTAAAGTCTTTGTGCTGAGTAAACAAGCGAAAGCGAGGAATGTCGAATATGTCAAGCTCTTGAGATGGCGGGTAAAAATTGTCCCCACCGCAAGATACCATATGGTCATCTGCGCGAATTCCCTTTGTCTCCAAGTATGACTTCACTAACTCGATATTTGTCGAAAACGGACATTGAGCAGAGATGAGATATGCAAAACCTCTTGAGACTTAGCACAAACTCCGTGCTACGAGAAAACAATACGAATTGCCAAAATCAACCGCCATTACACTGAAACCTAAGACCTGAGCGTGTGGCTTCTCGAATAGAATCCAGATCAGCCTAAATATCTGTAGCACTATGCTCGACACGAAACTTGTCTGCCCTCCAAGTCATGCTCTCGCCTACAGGTTACCTCGATCTCGACATGCTTATTTGATCTCAGACTCCCAACCATCCAATCCCCTGAACAATCACAGACGACTCCTTAACGAGAGTTTCTGAAGATCCCCCTTAGTACAGATAGACCTCGAATTCTGCGCTTATACCATTTTCTAGCCCGCGCCTTCTCGGCTCGTCCACGTATAAACGCAGTTCCTCTACATAATCATGCGATTACTCTACATGATCGTGCGGCTTGCCATACTAAGCCCATCACGCGCTGGGGCCAGTCTATCGCGCAGGATGAGGGGATTCTTAACTAGGAGGTGAGGAGGTCTGGTAGTTACAGCATGACGAAAATGGCATAGTGTGCGCGCATCTCATGAGCATGAGGAGTGGCGGTCGGAATATCGTCCTCTCTCGTAATGTACCGCCCGTGTGTAGGGGGGACGATCGCATCGTGGCCAGTTGATAGGGCCCGGCGAAAGGGTTGTAGCCTGCGAGGATACCTGAGGCGGTTCGACAGGTGTTTCTCAAAAAGCGACAACGTGAGAGATTGGTAGAGGTCTGAACTACCGTTGTAATAGTATAACAGGGTTGCATAAAATCGTAGACTTCGATAGCAGAAAGGGCTTCGAACGTGGGACTCGATTCGAATTCTTGAAGAGACAAAGAAGACCTGTGGGACTGAAATGAAGAATGCTCAGAGGAGATATGTCATGTGCGACTTGATATCTCCACCCTTCGCTAGCTACATTGTGCAGGGTTGAGAATCTGAACGATGTGTTTTATAACGTCGAAGATCGTGCTCTGTGCAACGTCCCACTGACCGGGTCGGGGCGAGGCTCGAGCAGCCATGCAAACAGTGACGTTCGCGGAAGTATATTGGGGTTTTTAAGGATTCGCGAAAATGAAAAGCTGCAAGGGAGAGCATCGAAGAAAGAAAAGAGATGTTAGTGAGAAAGCACAGTTCAATTCGCTCGACACCGATCGAAATGTCATCGCAATGGTTTGCAGCTTCTGACGTCTTGTTGATGCTCTCTCGCTGTTGCGTTGGCTTGTGGGTGTTCGTTTTCAGCAAGGAAACCTCGCTTGTTCTGCGAAGAATTGCGGCGCGGGCATCCATACGGCCGCAAACAACCTTACCCAACGTGCAAAACCCTTGGAAACAGAATGAAGCCCAGTAAAGCAGTTGCATCCGCGCGCTTGTCGCGTATGACATACTTGCTTTCGGGCTAGATGTATAAGAGTGTGATAAGATTACCAGCAATGTAGATAGGTACGCCTCAGATGATGTGATCCAGCCGAGACAATCATGGAGTTATACTTTGAATTAGTGCGTATGTACGTGTAATACATGATAGACGATAGCTGGTTGTGATGTTGGATAATGGTAGAGCGGATAGGGATCTTAAGCTGAGGTGGCGTGCTCTAGTTTAATGTCGTTCCTTCTGCTCATTGCCTGTAACGAGATCCATCCCTATAAGGTTACTAGCTCTCGGGATACCGTCTGAAAAGCACCCGTCCAACAGTCAACAGTGCCTTCAATTTGTTCTCTTTGGTCAGACGAGATCTTCCATCTCACCAAGCATTCATTTCATTACTAACACTCAAGCTGCTTTTCAGAGCATGCCAATCCTCGCGTTGACTCGTACTCTTTGTTATTGATCATGTCGTGCTTTTGACTCGGCGTATGCTCATTACCCTATGTCCTGATGCCCTACTGATAATATCAACACCCCATCAGGCCAAACAGTCACGACGAAGATCTTCGATAGGAGCATTCCGCGATCGAAGCAGGGCCGCACTAAAGACGCGCTGAGAAAGAAGGGAAGAGGGAGAAGAGTCTGGCCAAGCAGATCAAGCTGAAGCCGATTCGGCTGGTTATGGAGAAGGTGGAAGATGTACATTGGACTAAGATGTAGACTCAGAACAGTCACCCCGTGCGGCTCATATTATGTCAAGACTTGTATAGTATCACGTATATCGAGGTACTTCGTCAGAGTTTGCTTTGGGTCGAGAGCTGTTGAGGGCGTTTACGGGATGTTTGATGATGCAGGTGTAGATTCCGACGGATGCCCATGATTCCTTTCCTGGACGACCAGTCATATGAGCTTGCCTTTACTGTAGCTCAATCAGTTCTTTTTATCTGTGTTCAATGATACGTGAGTGCAATATGCATTTTCTTAATTATCAATGGGGAAAGACGGACACCTCATGCTGTAGGGATCCCTCGTGCCAACGCCGTCAGACCCCACTTGTAGGACCTTGTCAGTGTTAAGGACTGAACAGAATGTAGTATTTCAGTGGCCCAAAGGATCATGCCACATCTTTCATTGATAACAACGTTTCACTTTCGGTGGGTTCGGGCCCTCTATACTGATGGAAACAGAAAGCATAGGAGGCTTCCAACTAGAAATCCAACAGTCCACCTTACAGTTCACATCGCCACCTTTCGTCTACTGACGATCAGCAGAACAGCGTTTCCTATCACTAAGCATGGCGTCACCTTCGCGCGATACTTGTACGACCAAGTCGATGGGCTCAGTCTCGTCCTAAGAAAAGCATTGAGTGTCTCACCACTCAGCTTTGTCGACTATCTCACACCACTCGTTCTCGTTGATAAAAGGGATGAGTATAGCACCATCATTCCCGGACGTATACCCGACCGGGTCTACGTAAGCGCATTCTCACTAATAGTTCCATCATCGCCAAGTTACATGGTTACATGTACTGAAGACAAATTCATCCGCTGGGATATCTAAGAAGTTATTCTTGCTCGAGCGTACTCTATCTCAAATTCTCACCGTCGTCCGGGCTGCGGACCCTCATGTGATTTTTGGAGTATAAGAAAGGTTTTTATCCGGAAGTTCGACACAGCAACTTTACAGAAGAGGTATATGTCTCAATTCTCCTGAGTAATTCTTCTATAGACCAGCGTGTCAAGATCGGCCCTAAGTGGTAAGAGTAATAACCACACCAACTCGTCCTTGGCAAAGTGGTAGAAAGTGTAAGCTACCACGACTGATCCTTACTGGTAGGATAACCCTTAGTCCCTTTCCGGTCGATAGGGGCGACTTTCGTTGTCCTGATAGTCGTGGATAGCTTCTGGCTCTTTGTCAATTTGAAGGTCCGAGAATGACCTGTACGTGTTGTGGTGCACTGCCTACCCACGAGGGGATATCAACAGCATAGAGACCAGTCACAAGTTGTTAGTCATATGTATACGCGACTTGTGTTAAGAGAGTCAGGTCGTACGTTGTCCTAAATATTTCCTCTTGCAACCCGATGAACAATTTTTATCCTTCACCGTAGAGGAGGGAAGATTCTTATTCAGGACTCCAGGTAGATAATACGCAGAATCCTCCACTCTAGGTAATAGTCCTTTCCGAAGCCCACGATATTCGCTCTGTGATCGCACAAGTGAACCGATGGGTCTCATGCCATCACACGTCGAGGAAACCCAATGACTGAGGCTAATTGGCACATTAGTGCCGCCGTCGTTGTAATCTTCGTCCAGTCATCTGCGAAGAATTCAACCGTGTCTGGGGCGATAAGTTTCTGAAGACTTTAGCGGCACGTGTACCACTGACTATACTGGAAGATCTTCTTGACGCTGAAAACTCCACTCCAACAACGGTCTATGCCGTTGCTGGCAGTCCTGATGTCCCATAGATATACGTGGTACACGATCGCCGCATTGTACCAAGCGTACATACTGTTGATTGATTCTGTCAAACTAGCAGAAGTCCAGCTTGTCCATCTTCGCTTTTTCGTGGCCACCATATCGCAGTTTACGGATCTGGCAAGTCTTACCAGTGAATGCCTACCTTTCGACGAAGATGGGACCAACGTATGAATCATGAAGGTGCCATAAGTTCCTCTAATCCAAGCAAGTCCTCTACTGGAAGCATATCGTCGTCAATTAAATCATCATCTAGTATGCGGATCTAGACACATACAGACGAGTGTGCTTGACAGATTGGCCTAGGCTGTCACCTGTTCTAATGAAGGACACTGAAGATCAGGACTTTCGCTCATGTGCTCGCAAAACTTGCTCGGTGCTCATCTTCATGGTGCAGTTGTGGTTCCGTGCAGCGACACCTCCGCGGGGCTATTTAGTCAGGGCGGGAGTAGGCATGATGTCTATATGACAGAAAGGGAATATGAGTAGCGAGGAGCAGGAGCGTTGGGGATGGTTAAAGGAGAGAGCGTGTTGTTGTACCCACGAGCATGACGGGTGGGCCTGTGGTCGAGTTTATATGATACAGAGGGGGTCTAATTTAATCTCCGACTGCCACCTATTACCAAAACCCTACTTTCCAAGTCTCTATTTCTTTAATGCTATAGGTCTATAGTGCCGCCTTTAGTTAAATAACATTTATAGGTAATAATTAGAGTACCATGAAGAAAAAAGCTAATACGCCTAAGAAAACATATATTGGTAATGCGAATTGCGCACGGAGGCATTCCGGCGATCGGTGATTATCTTGGACCATTGTTGACAGGATGACAGGGCAAAGGCCTAATTAGGCGTAGCGTGCTGGACGAAGCGAGTACGCCAAACCTAGAATAGCGACTGCCGTTTCCTGGTGCGATTTTTCCGCCAATGTTTCTATCGTATCAAACGTAAACGTAATTAGATCAATTAAGCGGACGAAGTAGATTATACTAAACCTATATAGATGACTAGCTACTACATTCTAATACAAAAATCCTTTATATTTTCCTCTCTAACTATATATTTCTTTTATAGATACTTAATGTAATTAAAGAGAAGTATTACTAAGGTTCCAGTGTACCTAATAGGTTACTAGTAGGAAATATAGTGCTGTGCTTCATATCGTTGGACGCGCTCGTCTATTAGACTTCCGCCCCAGCCCCCGAAGGATGATGCGAAAGGGTCCGTCCAAGGACACCAGGAACTCATACGAGCATCGAGCTGGAGCTTTGAATGTTGGTCCAAGCCTTTTTTTATGCCTCAACGAAAGAGCCCAAGACTGCCCGTATCCTTGCATGGACATGTTTCAGCTTAGGGGGCGTGGTCGGATGCACCAATACTCGTCTGACCAGTAGCACGTACCATCCCTCGGTGTTTGATGGGTAAGCTGAAACATATTGAAAAGATGAATGCATGTTGGTAACAAGGTAATTTACTACTCGTACAGTGTATTGTATGTGCGCATTATGTCCATGTACGACGTCGATGTATCTTGACCTGTGTGTGTTCCTCCTTTGGTCGTCTTGCGAGCGCGCGAGAGAAGATATTTCTTAGCGGGCGGCGGGCGGCCTTACCCCACTATTCTCGCGATTCCAGCGATTCCAGCGATCTCCTAATTATTAACAGCAGCCCATGCCCATCAAGCGGCGGCGGTGGCTGAGGGCTGATTGGCGAGTGCTTGGCTACTTTTAGAAAGTTTAGCTTGCCTTTGGCGCCTTTTCTTCGCGTGTCAGCGCCTTAGAGCCTCAGGTAAAGCAGCCACCCGCGGTCGTGGTACGTCATTTCAATACCCCCATTCACTTGCATCCACCCTGTCAAGCTTCTTTTGGTCTGCTGGCAAGGGAAAAAAACGGGCGAAGGACTCTCTGTACAGGAATTGCTTACGATGATCTCCATTATTCAGAACATAACGTGGCCTGCCGTTACGTACACATCGTCCGCCAACGCACGCTACAAACGTGTAGCCTGGCACTGTCACTGTGAAGATGCTCATCATGTCGTGTTTGTTCTGCTTTTCTTAAGCCTCTCTTTCTCCTCCGTCCCTTTTACTCCCTCCTTCTGTCTCACTCTTTGTTCATTCACTCCACCTTCTCACCTCTTCCCTATCGACCGTGGCATACTTCTTATTCTTCTCCGCCCCCTGCCCTTGTCTTTGCCTTGTCCGTCTTCCGACCACGAATGTGCCCGCGTAGCCATCGTCAGAGCTGTTTGTAATCAACTCGGACATTTACCCAGCACTCACGCCATACTCGCCTTTCCTTGTTTGGCTCAATCTGGTGGAGACGCTGTCGACGCACACACACACGCACCCACAGCGGCCCTGCGACAAGGTTTTCCTTGAAAGGTAAGAGACCCTTCACCGATGAATCGCCAGTCAAAACTTACACGTCCGCTCTTCAGACCCGCTTCGGCCCAAGACTGCCTCTCCTCTCCTCTTGTGCTTCCTTTTCGGCCAGGCTATTATCTCCCTTCTTTTTGGAGCCACTCCTCTCCCTCCCTGTCCGACTTCTCTCATAACCACTGGACATGGAGGCTTTCACACGGAGGTCAAAGAGACTCTCCACCTTCCTGTCCTTCAGTAGTAATGATGACTTGCTTACGCCTGCCGCGCCTGCTCAGGCGAACAATTCATCTACATCCCGTATACGCGAGAAGAGCCCGTTGCCAAGTCTGAGGAAGCTCAGAAAGGCCTCACAAGACCGCGTACCGTCACACACATCTGTCTCATCTACATCTTCGATTCCGAATTTTTCGCTGCCAAATTACTCTCCACCAGAAGGCCACCATCCTGTGCAGCCTCCGTCACAAAATCAACCAGCCTTGCCACCGCTCGAAACCGAATTACTTCCTCCTCCACGTTTCAGTGATGGTGCGCCACAGACTGGATCGCCTGCCAGCTCTCGTCCCGGAAGCATCGTTGGAGGTTTCGCGCCCACACATACACTTCGAAGCACAAGCGATCTGAGCGAGGGAAAGCCAAAGAAGAAGTTCTTGTCGAAAGACCTAAAAGACAATCGAAAAATCAGCAACAAGCCGTCAGCATGGATCGCGGGGCATGATGAAGTCGTACCATATACTCTAGGGGCCTTGCTAGCCGGTCAGAGGGTTAGTTGTGCACAACGTGGTATTTTTGGCCCGCACTAAATTGTGTTCTAGGTTTCCGAGCTATGGGACTACACTGGTGACACCTTCATATACCTCTTTCCCCGAACATCGGACAAAGGACCATCTTTTCGTGTGCATTCTGCTCATTACTCCAGCTCGCCTGTTCTGACTCGTATTGCCCATGGGAGAGTCTACAGCGAAGCCATCGCACCCGAGCAACGACATTCTTCCGTCGTCCGACGTAAACCTATAGACGCAGGGTCCCGACACTCTTCTCTCAGCGATGCCACCCCTCCGCCGGATACATCTCCTGATCTCAGACCTCTGGACATGCAAAGTTCTAGTTCTGGCTCTGGCTCTGGTTCTGGTTCTCGACGCTCGCGCCCTCTCACTGATCCCGACTTCTCTGGGCCGGCAGAAACGCATCTGTATCTCCCTTTGACTCTCAGTCCTGATGTGATGGCAAACAAGCCGAATGCATGCTTGACAGTGGACGACTCAGAGCTCTTGATCGGTGTTCGCAATCTATTTGCCTTCCTTGTCGGGCAGTCGTTAGTTGCAACTGAGAGGCGGCCATCCGTGTTTAGTGCGTTCATGAAGATTGCAGAGCTTCTCGACACATGGGAGTTTTCAAATCTTGATGGATCAACGCACGGAGAGGTTGCAAGTGCAAGTTTCGCAAACTATGTGGAAGAGCTAAACCTCGATGACGTACGGTCGAGCCGAGAAAAGACCGTTGAGGCTATTGTCCTAGGTGAGCGTATGCGCTGCCAGGCCTTGTACAACGAGGGCTTCGTCCATGGTGTAGGGAAACGGGACGAGCTCAAAAAGATGAAAAGCCCCAAATTCACGCTCATAAGCTCAAAGACCCATAACAAGATGGACAGAGCGGCCATGGATCTTGAGATGCGCCAGAAGAATATCAATGGCCGTTTGCAAGACTTTGATTTTCCCTCTATTTTCGCCGGCATCATGAACAGCAAGACCTCATCCGAACGGAAGCAAGTTCGTTTCCAGGCCTGGCAATCTGCCTTTATGGGAACGCGAAAGTACATCATGGGCTACTACAAACACAAGTACGGTGCCTGGCCTCCTAAAGCAAGCTCCAAGAAGAACTCTCTTGAGACGAGTGGGCTGAACCGCCTTGTGCTGAAAGAGCTCTACGATGACATGTCTGTCCTATATGATATGCTGGTTGACCGTACAAATCTCACAACTCGCACTCTCGACCCTGTCGGCCAGCCTGACGATGAGTCTGATGAGCAAGCCATTGCCAGAGCCTTGCGTCTCGTTCTGTCAGAATATGACCGCGCGTCCCCTCCCGTTCAACCACCCATCCCCTTTGACGTCCCCCTCCTCCCCTCTCTCTCCACCATTCGTAAAGATCACACCACAGGCGATGCAAAGAGAGATGCTAAAACTCGCGCGAAGAAGCTCAAAGACGACGAAGTCCGCACTCTGCTCAAATCTACTCACAACGCAGACGCCGTCAAACCATCCCACCCTTTCCTCGCCGCCTTCTTCGAACTCGAGTCTAAGACCGCCCACAACCGCACCTTTGATGAGATCCTTGACCTGCGCATCGGACAATGGCTCTTCCTTTACGCAGTCCTCAATGCTCTCCCTATGCTTGTCATCGACGCGCCAGGTCTCAAGTGGACGGCTGGCGTGGAGTACTTCCTTTGCGAGGTTCCTCGCTCCGGAGTGCCTTGGGCGCGCACTGACGATGCGCACGCCACCCAGCGCAACTGGTACGGCATCGCAGGCTCCACGGGTGTTGTGTCTCTCCCTGCAGATGTTGTCGAGCATGGCGTAGAGGGCATCTACCGGCGCAGCCACGCGTGGAAAATGGCCGAGGTTTGGAGTCACGAAATCGGTGGTCTGCTTGACGCCGCTGTGCAGGACATGCTCGATCCACAGGGTGGCGCTCACCAAGGCGGTCTTGCGCCGCCGCCTGCAATTATGGGCGGCGGCGAGGCGATGCCGCGACCGAGAAGTCTGCGTGCAGAGAGTCCTACGCCTAGCGGTAGGGGCAAGAGAGAGAGCGTGATGATGCTGGGTTTGGAAGCACTACCTGTACCGGCAGGCATCGATCCGATGGGGCTAGGAGCCGGAGCGGGAGGCAGTAGGCCCGGGAGTCGGGCGGGTAGTGGAAAGACGACATTCGATGACATCCTGGGAGGCGCAGGAATACCGGTGGATAAGAAGAACAAGAAGAAGAAATAATGGTGACCTGACTTGTGTGTTTTGATGATTCCCCCCCAAAAAAAAATTGCGCAATGCAGCATAGCGGACGGAGGTCGTGTCATCTTTTTGTGGAAATAACGTATAAAAGTATGTTGGGGAAAAATTGGGATTGCTGCCAAAATCGGGGTCTTGGATATGTATTTATGGATTGTGGATATTTTGGGCGTTTTTTTTCTTCCTGGGGCGGTGATGACTGTATCTGGTGGTGTGCTACTGCCAAAATTTTAAATTTTTTGGAAGCCATGTATCGGTATTGATATCGTGTCGAGTGGGATATCTACCGGTGGATGCATGTGGTTTGTTTTTGTATATAGCATGGCATGGCATGGCATGGTGGTGGGTGCATGCCTGCCCTCACACCCCGCTTTAATACCTCCTGGGGGTATCACCTTTTTAATAAGTAACGACAGAACCTTGAAGGAGGACTTTCTTAATCGAGATACTCTGCTCCTCTACCTCTATGTCTCTTTTTCGTGAATTCTTCGCCGATGCATCCAAGTGAACGGAGTTGAGCTCCTTTGGCCCTAACTAGTAGTCCTGCGCGTGTATGGCTGCTAGTAACGATAGGTGCATGATAGTGATATTGAAGATTATGATTAGTAAAGAAGGAGAAGGAGAAGAAGGAGAAGAAGGAGAAGAAGGAGAAGAAGGAGAAGAAGGAGAAGAAGGAGAAGAAG